TTGTGCCTACGGGGTTGTACGAAAACGAAACCATGCCGTTTGGCCTGTCTAACGCCCCTGCTACGTTTCACCGGCTCATGCAAACAGTACTTGCAGGGCTAGTCCCCAAACAGTGCCTCATCTACCTGAACGATATCATCGTGTTCGGCCAGTCTCTCGAAGAACACCATGCTAACCTTCGAGCCGTATTTCAACGCTTACGCAGGAGTAATCTTAAGCTGCAAGCCTCAAAATGTAAATTCTTACAGAAATCTGTTATTTTCCTCGGACATGAGATTACTCCACAAGGAGTACATACAGATAGCAGCAAAACCCAAGCAGTTGTCAACTGGCCGACCCCTAAATCGACAGCTGACATACGCAGTTTCATGGGGCTTGCCTCTTACTACCGGCGTTTCGTCCAAAATTTCGCCAGTATAGCAGCCCCCCTCCATCGATTGACAGAAAAAGGACGAAAATTCGTTTGGACAAACGAGTGCCAGGTAGCCTTTGATACGCTTAAAAAATGTCTAACTTCTCCTCCTGTTCTATCGTTTCCAGACACATCGGCTGACAGCGGTCCCTTTATCCTGGATACTGACGCCAGCGCGCACGCAATAGGAGCCGTTCTTTCGCAGACAACCTCTGATGGGCGAATCCGAGTGATAGCATATGCCAGCCGAATGCTGGACAAAAGAGAGACGCGGTATTCTACGACGCGCCGTGAGATGTTAGCCCTCGTATACTTTCTTGCATACTTTCGCCATTACTTACTGGGGCGCAAATTTCGAGTCCGGACTGACCACAAGGCGTTACAGTGGCTGCAAAATTTCCGCGATGCCGAGGGCCAACTTGCCCGCTGGCAGGAACGTTTACAGGAGTTTGACTTCACTTGTGAATATCGACCCGGGAAAAGACATGGTAACGCCAACGCCCTCTCTCGCCTGCCAGATTGCGAAAACACATTGAATGTGTTACTCGGTGCTGCAGCCGACACCGACTGGGCCTCCCTGCAAGCGGCGGACACAGCAATACAGCCCATTTATTTACGACAACAGCATGGGAACGACAAACCGACGTCCAAAGAACTACAGGACTTACCAGCAGCTACGCGGTGCATCTGAGATAAATGGGGTCTACTACGACTCATAGATGATGTTCTTTACATAGTGGAACCAAATGCCAACCCCCGACTCCTCCTCCCAACCGTTAAAGTACCCGAGCTCATTAGTCAAGTACATCAGCAACTGGGACACGTTGGCCAACAGAAAACTGAACACGCCATCCGTCAACGCTTCTGGTGGCCATTTATTCACCACGATGTTACGGAGTTTTGTCGCAATTGTGCTATATGTGCGCAGATCAAACAGCCTAAGCCAACTCCCCGAGCACCCTTAGTACCTATGCTGACCAAAGCCCCTAATTATCGAGTGGGGGTAGATATCATTGGGCCAGTGCCAGCATCGAGACGCGGTAATCGTTATATACTCGTCATGGTTGATTATTTCACCAAGTGGTGCGAAGTGATTCCTCTTCAGCAACAAGATGCCCTAACGATCGGGCGCGCGTTCATCGACAATTGGGTATCCCGTTTTGATGCCCCCCTTTATCTACACTCCGATCAAGGCGCTGCTTTTGAGAGTCTTCTGATCGCTCACATCTGCAATGCTACACCTTATCATCCGCAAGGTAATGGACTGGTGGAACGCACCAATAGAACCATCAAGCATCTTCTCCGTGTCTTTTTGCACAATGCACCAGAGAACACCTGGGACGATGTCCTACCCCAGTGCTTTCTGGCATACCGCTCCTCCATGCATTCGTCGACAGGATTTTCTCCTGCTCTGCTATTGTTTGGGCGTGAACTTCACCTTCCAGTTGAGATCCGGACACCGTTGCTACCATATGAAAAGATCGACTGCATTTCCTTCGTCACCACCTCGATCTAGCCTACAACCTAGCACGTCGTCATCTTCAATCTTCTTCGCAACATCAGAAAAGCAATTATAACCGGTTTGCACACGGACCAACTTATTCCCTGGGTGACTACGTGTGGCTCCATCGTCCGTCAGCCCCTGCCGGCTCGTGCCCCAAATTCTACGCCCCCTGGCAAGGTCCATATGAAATTGTTCAGCACCGACCTCCGACTACATATATCCTGCGGAACTTGCGACAACCCCAAGAAAATCTCATCTCAGCGCATTACAACCAGCTGAAACCACACTATCCAGCACCTGTCAAAGAACCGCCGCCCGCTACGACCTACTTCGAGGTGCCCACCGATGGAGGTAGTGCATACCCTATACCGCCGCCAGGCACTGAGGACAGTGCCTCCAGAGGGGAGGGAGCGATATAATGACATAAAAGCATAATGACATTTTAAAAAAATACACTAGATAACTGTTTCTAAGTTGTTTCCATGGATCGCAAAATATACACCTGAACCCACTTTTTTATAGCTGGCTTTCAACCAAATGCCAGGCGTTTGCCGAAGGAGACAAGGAAGAAATAAAGCATAATGGAATGGTTTGAGCTTCAGGTCAGACAGTATTGTGTCAAAAGATCTACTGTCTATTATAATGTTTTATCTGAATATCCTGTACGAATAGAAAATATCAGGCAACAAACTCCACTGTCCAGAATACACCTACCGTTACTATTATTATTAATATTATCAGTAGTAGTTTTTATACTGTTGCTTTAGTTTTGTATTAAGTCGTGTTTATATTCACTTTTTTGATATTTAAAACATTCATGAAGAGTATTATTCAGTGAGTGAAATACTTTCTACAAATAACACATGCATATGATGTTGCAGAGTATTGGAATGATACTACTTGGAAACATAGAACTTTTGCTAAAAATTTTGTCAATTAAGACAGTAGACGGGAATGCTGACAAAGGGAATCCTTCACCGTTTGTTCTGAGAATTTACTGAAATTCTATCCATCTTGAAGACTATTTAACGTACCACAGCTGTTTTACAATCTGTTTCCCTAATGAGCATAAATACTTGACGTATATCACCACCAGCTTGTTTATTATTTTATTCCTTTGACTTCTGAGTGAAACATGGGGTCTTAAGCTGCAACTTCAAAGTTTTGTTAGTAGTGGTGTTTCTTATTTAAGGGATGTGGTTGCTGGCCCCACGTCTAACCATCCATATTTACCGGTATTACTACCTGTTAAGAGAGTTCGCGGCGTGCATGGAACCTCGGACCACGTGATTCGTGGTTGCTGAGTTCTCTACTGCCGAACGACTGACGCAGAAAACATTATGAGAACGAGGTGCATGCAAATAGCATTAGGTTGTGCACAGTTAATAACTGATCGGCAGGGTCCCGTACGATGAGAAAATATCATGCAATACACTCCGATGGAAACTCTGTACATTAGACAAACACCGTTCAGTCATTAGTGTTAATAGAAATGAGAAGATCAAGTAGTATCTACTTATTCTAACAAAGAACTTAACTCCCATTACTCAGTTAATTTGACAATTTCCACCCATCATATTTTGTGTGCTATACATTGATTAAAATTGCTACACTAAAACAGCTACACGGCAATGCCACGTGTCAGGCGATCCACTACGACAAAAACTGAGCGAAGCCTTTGAAGTGAATATACTGGGGTAATAATACAAGGCTACACACCTATTATCACCGATGATATTCCTAATTGTGGTGGACTGGATTATGCAGCACACCGTGCATGGGGATTAAATTAATTTACCCGCCCAGTTGTTCAACTGTGTATCAATATATGCGCCTACGCCAAGAGTAAATGATACTGTCCGAAAAAAAAGTAATAACAGACTTAACTCATGATATTGCGAAAGTACAACTGGATAAGTGGGACAAGTACACACATATCAAAAATGGAAAACAACTCGATATGATAGTAGTTCCGAAAATTGATTAATAATTAATAAGCTGTAATGATTTTACTTTGAGGCAAAGGGTTAAAAGTAACTAAGGTGATCGAAATACTTATATGCACTTACAACCGGATCATTTTTAAATTAACACTGTGAAAAATTACTGTTGATTTAATCGAATCCATGCTAAATATTCCTCTAAGTAAGCATACTTATAACAACAGTGACTCAAACATACTTCTTTTTATTCCTTGGCGTTTCGAGTAGACACAGGGCTTCAAGCTGCATTTTCGAAGTTTCAGTAACAGTTGTGTTTTTTTATGGGGTAGGATTGCTACCCTCAAGCCCAACCTTCCCTTTTTGTCAGGATTATAACCGGCTAAGGGAGAAAAAAGGTGTGCGCAGGTTGGAATTCGAACCCCAGACCATGTGCATGGTTGGCCAGCAGTTTACCACTGAACCACCCACGCGCAGCAAACATTTTTTATTCCTTTACGTTCCCAGTGTAACATAGGGGGCTTCAAGCTAGATGCTTGATGTTTCAATAGCAGTGGTGATTATTTTTACAGGATGGGGTGGTTGCTAGCCCCATTCCCAACCTTCCCTCTTTACCAGTCGTCTTACTACTGGCTTAGCGAGGTAAAGGATTGAGTCAGTCGGGGATCAAACCCCGGACCACGTACCTAGTTGGCGAGCATTCTACCGCTGTACCACCGACGCACACAGCAATCATACTACATGATTAAATTTATTAATTTATTTATTCCTCGTTGAAAGTGCTCACTGATATTGAACTATAATCTCTGTACTCTGTGGGAATACAGAGTATTGTAGTTGTTTGAAATCAATTACCAGGAACAGACTTTCCATGTAACAGGGGCTAGAAGCCACATTTACTGTGGCTGAGATGGTTGATGATACACCGTCCAGTTGCCCAAGCTCAAATAGGCTGAGCAGTATCCAAAAAACTGTGACCCAACATCTGAAACTGAGTGTTTAGGTCAATGAGCCACACATCCCTGCCAGAGTATTATAGCCGTGGGATAAGCTCATATTTGTAACCTACTAACTGGCAAATGCATATTTATACAGTTAATAATAATAATAATAATCATAGAATGTCACAAAAAGATTCACTCACTTCTGCACTGTGTTTACACAACGATCTATACGTTAATGCTTGAAAATTTGGACTTCGTGTATGACGCTTGTATGTAGTCGATGGACAATTGTTTCCTTCACCTTTAGATGATGATAAACCAGGCAGATCTGGACCACCGTCTAAACGAATAAGCCATTCTAAAGCAGATGCTGATCGTGGTAAGAGAACTTCTAATAAACTTTGAGTTGATTCTGGTCTAAGGAATAATTTTACCAATTTTTCATGAATAACATTCAACTCTGACAACTGGGTGTGTTATGCAAAAAAAGCAAAAAGCAAGTGAAACAAAAGGTGAGAAAGGTTATATTATGAATTAACTAAAGAATTACTGATTATTTGTTTTAACTTCAATATCCTTTGCGTTATGAATGTGCAACACAGATTTTCAGGCATGAGCTTTGAAGTTTTTTTGAGGGTTATTTTTTATGCGGTGGGGGAAGGGCAGTGGCACAGTGGTTAGGACTCTCGCCGACCATGCACATGGTCCGGGGTTCGATCCCCTGCCGGCGCACACCCGATATCTATGGTCGGCCTGAATTTGGGCTACCGATATCCATGCTGAAAATTCCATACTTGTACTGAAAATACGGTGTGGAATCAAGCTGTAAATCAAAATTAAAAAAAATAAATAAAATAAAATTGCTAGCTCTATACCCAACCTTTTCTCTTTACCAAGCTTACTACCACCGGTTAAGCCAGATTAAGTAGGGCATGGGCTGGGGAGTCGAACCTAATACCATGTGAGGCGTGGCTGGCGAGTATTCCTACCACCACTGAACCCACTGACGTACAAACACCACTGAAAATTACTAAACTCCTGGATACCTCTGATGCGAACTATTGTGAAATAAACGGAATTCCTTCGCATACAAAAGAATCAAATAAAGACTTCAGACTTAATTGTAACATTTCACACGAAAAAGATTTCTAGAGGTTTTAAATTAGAAGTAGCAGCTGGCAAAATCCTCTGTTGATCCGCCTTTAAACCTCGCTAAGTTGATAGTAAGAGCCCGGTAAAGAAGGAAGGTTGGGTGTGAGGCTAGGAACCCCCATCCCACCCCGTGAAAATGAAATCTCTGCTACCGAAACTTAAAAGCTCTAGCTTGAGACCCTTATGTTCCATTTGGAGCATGAAAGGAATTTCTAGGAAACTAGTGAAATCAACCAGGTTGTAGATACAGACGAATATCTACCAATAACAGTAGATGATGGTTACATCATATACTGGCAGAAGTTAGAAAATGTGAGTCATTGGACAATAATGTAATAACTTTAAAGCTTCACGACCACAGATGCAACTCCGTACAGAGTAGTGATTATTAAATTAGGACGAAATAATCAATCAGTCGAAATTATTTTTCAATGACAGTTTAGTTAGTATCAGTTTTAACGAAACGAATTGAGTCATCTGTCAAACTGACTTATCAACAAAAAACACTGTACAAAACTGCATCACTTCAAAGTTGCTTCACTTTAGAGAAGCACACGTAGAACTGGAGAAAAGAAATTTAATGAAACTACAATGGACGAAGACAAACGGGAGAGAGAGAGAGAGGGGATCAAAAGATGAACATTAATGAGGATTTTCAGTACTTGTACATCAAGAGAAAGTCAATACACCTGCATCACTAGAAAACGACCGATGAAGCTTCACAACCTGATCGATTGACTTTCCATCCCTAGCAAACGTCCTACATCTCTAAACTCATTATTACTCACAACATTACTTCTTCGAATCCTAGAAACAGAACAAATACATCTACGATTAAAAATCATGAATCTTTTTACAACTTCTACCTTTAACGCAAACGTCTCACGGGGTTAAGGTGGGAGGAAGTCAACTGTTTTGCATCCTGTTTAGTACATTCTTTGATGGATAGACGGATATTACACCAAAGACTCCAATGAAGACTACATAGACTGAAAATTGTCAGACGAGGTTTCCTTTTAACACAGGGTCTCAGCCTCACGTCTCCATTGCGTTCGGTTCTCTGCCAACGTTTTCACCTGGCTATACCTCTGACCACATGCTTTCATCTCCTCTCTGCATGACCTCCTCTAGGTCACCCTCGCACTGAAGACCAACTCACTGCTTCCCATTCGGGTTCCATTCGAGCGATGACCTGGCGTGTGATGTCACTTGATGGTTTTCTCAGAGTATGGCCGATCCATCTCCATTTCATCCTGCATATTTGTTACACAGTTGGTTCCTGCTGGGTTGGTTCGTTCATTGCCAGAGATCCCTGTCGCTCAACTTTTCTGGCCACCTGACCTTGAGTACTGAGTGAAGCTAGCTGTTGATTAAGGTGTGTAGTTTGTTCGAAGTGCTCTTCATGACGCGCCAAGTCTCTGATCCGTATAGTAACACTGACTTCACATTGGAGTTGAAAATCCCGATCTTATTTTTCATGCTGAGAGCTGTTGATCTCCACACAGACTTGAGAGTAGTGAAAGCTTGTCTTGCTTTTCCGATTCTCACTTTGATGACATCCTCATCAGTTCCGTCCGCCTGTAGCTGGAGCGATGCTTCCCAGGTAGGTAAGTGGTAAAGGAGGGTGCTTCTTTCAGATTTCTCCCATTCATGCTGACTGTTGTCTGTTGTTGTTACTGTTGTCCTAGGTAGGTTAAAAAATAAACTTCTAATTCTGCATTTCACTAGTCAACCAGGCCTTTAGAACTCTTCAGTAACCAAGGTGATAGATAGTAACGCATGCTAACCTTCCATAAAATAGACGTAATTCACTTCTCTTAAAAAGACATATGATAAACTTAGTATATTCCAACTACAAGAATTCTGGTTGAAGCAAATAAATATGATTACAACTGCCAAGTCAACACTTAAGGCCAGTCTGAATACATATATACATACACCTAATAACAAATGCTATGATCTATAAGCAACTAACTAAACCCAAAAATAGAGTAGAGTAGAAAGTTAAAATCTCATACATGAGAATCAATAATTATAACTAAACAGATAGCTGATCATCTCATTAGAAGATCCGAAAAGGATGACATGTTATTGCTGTTGAATAGAAACATCATAGATGCAATTCTTCATAAGAATGACTTTCTGACTATGCATAATTTGATAAGAGAAGGAAAAATAATCACCGACATAAGAGCATCCACACAGTCTATGACCTTTTTAGAAGAAGACTTTTTAAACGTAATTACAAAATGATGTAAGTAAAAGTTAGTTTTAGTAGCAGTGGTTGTTTTTGTTATTTTTATGGGGTGGAGTTGCTAACCTCACGTGCAACTCTCCCTCTTTACTGGGCCTACTTCGAGCTTAGTGAGGTTTAGAAGTGTGTCAGCCCGGGGATCGAATCCCGGACCACGTGAAGTGTGGTTGACGAGCATACATTCTACCGCTGAACCACTGACGCACAACATGATGCAAATAAAAGTTAATCACGTGTACTATTATTATTATTACTATTATTCCTCTCTAATGGGACATGGAGAGTCAGAAGTACATTATACTATTTCATTCTGCTGTCTGAAGTCGTTTCCAGTTGGCTCAGTGATCGCTTAAATAATAAGCCTTCATTCCGACGCCAGACGATTTCCTCCGTGTCATCACATACGAACACACAAATTATACTTTGATTGGACACTAGTAACCAGTGTGATGTGTCTAGTCCTTTATTCGGTGCATCACACTAGTTACTAGTGTCCAATCAAAGTACCCACTACAATCCTACAGGAGGTCAATCGCGAGTCCGAATAGCTGGCTCAGTAGTAACGTCTCTGACTGCAGCACTCACTGGATGACGCGGGTTCGAATTTCAGAAGGGACATGAGTTCCTTCAAAGGGGTTGCAGATACGCCTTGCTGACTGACAGGTGAGTGCCAACTAGCACAAAACCTAGGTCTAAGCAGGCCTTCCTGCCGATTGCCTCCAACCATCTAGTACACAAATTGTAGTCTTCCATTACAGTTTCACTTGAAGGTTTCGCCTAGTTCACTAGCTAGTCGCAAGGCTGTGAAAAGATGAGAAGTTAGGCTTGGTAGACAACGACCCAACACACCCTGGAAAATCAATCCAGTCACTATAGGAACTTCAAAGCGCAATATCCATATATATATATATATATATATATATATATATATATATATATATATATATATATATATGGATATTTATCATAAATATATATACTCGAAAAAGAAATTAATTAATTACCAATTTTTTAATAGGATCAATTTGTGGAAATTTCACCACACAATTTGCAGTTTTCTCTTCTAAGGCATTGAGATATGCTAACCATGTCGATGGAGTAGAATTCAATGAGCCTAAACCAATCTCTTCCATAATTTCTTCAATAAATGCATCAGTTCCGGTAATATTTTCTTTATTACTATCCTGTGTAGGTATTGATATTTCTTGATCATCATCAGGTTGTTGTCGTTTTAGTGGTTGTTGTTTTTGTTGTAATAGCTTCACTTGTTCCACTGATTCTCTTTCTTCTACTTTTTCTTCTTTAATCATCCATGAGTTATCGTTGATTAGTAGAATATCTGTTAGGTAATTAAACTTTTTCTCATAAATTTTCGCATTCTCATAGATCTCCTGGACATCAGTAATAATAGTCAAATGAATCGGTAGTTGCAGTGCTACTGTTAATCGTTCTTTGATAAGATTTAGTGATATACTGCACGGCCTTTAAAAAACAAATAATAATAATAATGATAATGATAAGGTCATGATACTAATAATAATATCTTTATTCTGGAAAGTATTTACAAGACGTGGAGAATATTCATCGGAGTTTATTGCAGGATATTTTCCCTTCGTACAATATCTTCAAGTAAAATATTTATTTATTTAAACGCAGAAAAAACTTGGTACAATATGGCACCAAGAAAGATGCGTCACACAATAATAAAAAACAACATAGATTAAATGTAAAAAATATAAGTAGAAAACGGATAAAGAACTTCATCTGGAAGGAAAACAGTCATGTTTAACAAGTTCAAACACTATTCGTTAACTATCATCAGGAAGGGAAGAAAGAAGGAAATTGCAACACGTTCGCCATTGATGACTGCGATTCTTGGCTATATCCGATAACGTTTCGAGCCATCGATTCGAGCTATCTCGCGGACCCCAGGGAGTCGTGACACACCAACCGATGCTAACCTAGCACAAATATCCTTCATCCCACGACGCCACGTCATGGACTGACCACCCCTCCGCCTTTTCCATCCCGTCCCAGGGCTGGCCAGCGAACAGAGACCTGTACGGAAGCCTCTGGGATGACATTCGCAGCACATGTCCAAGCCACCGGAGCTGGTGTTTCCAGATTACGACACTCAATGAATGGTGATCTCCACTGTGTTCAAATAGACGCCGCCGAACCTCAGAATTACTCACGCGATGATGCCATCGAACGCAAGCAATCCTGCGGAGACAGTGATGATCGAACACGCAGAGTCGCCTCACATCCTCAGCTCGGAAAGGCCAGGTTTCACAGTCGTAGAGCAAGACAGATCCCACACCGAAGCATTGTATACCCGACCTTTGACAGCCAGGCTAACGTCGCGACGGCGCCAGAGGTGGCTCAAATTGATGTATGCCACCCTAGCCTTCATTATACGGTTGGAAATCTCATCCGTCACCCCTCTGCCAGCACTCACACAACTACGGAGATACACAAACTTATCAATAACTTGAAGCAGTTCATTTGCAAGAGTGAGTGCAGGTACAGGCTCCTGCCAGTCTCGTAACAGTACTTTGCACTTAAACGGTGCAAAGCACATACCATACTTACAGACACAGTAAAATATACAGACAGTAAAATATTAATTGACAGTGTATCTTTCCTGTGACACAATGCTCTCTCTCTCTAAACTGAAGCACAAACCATTCCAGTATGATGTATGGTGTGCTTTGTCTCCTTCCTTCAAGAAATCCATCCACGATATCAATCTAGTTGAAAGCTATTTGTAAGATGTTCAGAACGTGTACATTTTGAGACCTAACGACATAACTGAAGAACAGTAGTTATCTCATGCATTGGGATACGTTGCAACCCAATTCCTCAAGTTTAGTAGGAACTTGAGAATCAGAAGGTGCTTGTAAACATTTTGAATATACACAATAGTAGTTTAATACCAATACAGGTTATATCTCAGTCGATTAAAACAAACCGAACAAGAGAGAAAATATATATGAAATTGACAGATGGAAGTTTTCGGGTAGCCCAAGTTTTAAGCAGGCCATCAAAGTAAGATAGATACAAAGGGTGATAAGATAATGATGAGAGCACAACTGTTATTTATGTGCTTTATACATACAGTTACTTTTGAGCAATATCCTGATATTAGATGAATTGATATTTAGTTTGTTATATACTAATGTAGCGTGTGCTCTTTAAATACAGAGTGACAAAAAGCGGCCGAAAACCGGAATCAATATTTTAAGTCAGTGGCTGTAAAGGTAAAAGTGTTTATTATTCCTAAAATCTGGATCTAGTTTACGGTGTGGTCTGGAAATAATCTCATTGGGCGACTCTTTTAGCCGCTTTGTTTAACCTTAGGTCAATATATTCGACAGCCAATTAGAACAATTCATTGCCCACTGAACAAACCGACTTTTAATTTGGTTAAAAACGTATAAATATGATGCACTTTTCCTTAGTAAAAAGTCCGTTACCAATTCTCTTATCCACTGCCGTTACACTAGCACAACACACAAGATGATATGCGTAAAATGCAATAATTTTTTCGATTAAAAACCATCACGATATGTGTACAACTCTTAGTAATTACATGCAGTTTCATGATCCACCCACCCACCCCCAATGACCTAGTACGGTTGACGCTGGGTAGTTGACTACAGTCTTCCTCTCGAAATGGTCTCTCATGTGGCTACGCATTCATAGTCTCTCTCTCTCTCAGATAACTTTTGTTCACCTCTTTCGAAGAGTTGTCCCATATGAAAAGTGAAAGGGTGAGTGAGGAGATTTAGCTGCTTACGACCAATCTGGTGGATATGTTGCCCTACCTAGGGGGGGGGAACTGGAAGACCCTGATTGCAAAACTATGGGGCACATAACCTTCAGAATCCGAACGGATTGGATTGAATGACACATGAACCTGTTACTGTCAGTGGAAAACAGGGGAACGTAGCTTCTGACCTACCTTTTCGATAAGACTTCAAGTCAAAGCTCGTGAGGTGTCCTCATAAGACAACCAGCTAGTTTTGGTCCCGGCGCCCGGGCATTATCCCGGCTCTCACACTATGAAACTATGAAACAACGATTCATAAAAGATTATTATTGCTTCATAAATCCCGCTGCTATTTCATACCAATTATATACGTTTTCAAGAGTTAGTTAGTTTGTACGGATTTGATTCGTTTCAAGTTTTGATAACGGAGTGGTATCAATTAGAGAACCACTAAAAACGAGGGAATATTGTTTAAAATAGATCAAATCCCTACAAACTAACGCTTCAAAATTAAATTCATGATTGCCAATGACTAACTAAACAACGAAGTGGCCTGCAGTTCCGTTGAGAAGTCATGACCAGCCTGGTCCACCCCACATAGGGAGTAACGACAAATACTCGCCACCAATGAATGACATTAGCTGACAGTGGGCGCGTTAAAATCACGAATGAATGTTAGATGTTAGAATTCACGGGCTGGCCATAGAGGAGTCGGGTCCCAGTGGATGAATGGTGATCTACGAGCTTGACTTATAACGGGAAGGTCTTGAGTGAGAATCCCGAAGGGTGCGTACCTCCGATGAGTCCCAAAGTAGGACGAAGCATCTGTCTAGTACTCCCTGTCGGCTATCAATGGCTCCCCAAAATGATATCAATCCGTGGGCAAATTTGAAATTATTTAAGTCTTAATGATAATACCTGGCAACTGGAGTGCACTAATTTCATTTGCAGAATACGCACAGGGAGTTGTTCAGAATAAGAACAAAAAATAATAACCGCTTAATACTTATGAAGAAAAGCTGTATCAATGAAAGTACTCTTAAAAGTATCAAAACTCATGTAAAAAGCTAATTAATATATATACATGAAAAAGGCATTAAAAATAAAAGGATAACCTACTCTGCTTTGATAATTGCTTCTAAACCCTCTTCAACTAATTTAACTGCAGAAACCATATCAAACAGACGTCGACTTTGAACAGTTAACGCTGTATCCAATACACTGTGTGAAGCAAAATTATGCGCGCTACCATTTTCATGAATATTATTCATGACATAAGCGATAGATGAAGCCACTTGATTCCCTTGTAATTGTAATTTGCAAACATCATTCAGTGTAGGTTTATGTATCACCAGAGTTGGTTTAACATCACTGCCAGTATCATCATTTTCTCTTTGATTACTATTAAAAACGTTATTAGATTTGAAGTTGAGAATTTTATCGACATCCTCCAACCAAATGAGGCATTCATGAACCTTAATAAAAAAAATAAAATTTTATCGAGTGTTGGTTAAGAAGGATTTGATTTGATTACAGGTGATTGATTACGAGTTGACATCAGTTAGTATTTGTTACCTCTGGAGTTCTGCTGAGAAATCAATCAACCAGAGGGATTCACCAAGTCTGGTAGAAGAGGGAACAGAGTGACTCTAAACTATATATAGCAGCCCAAACCGAAACTACCTTCCCAGAGAACGGGTGAGTGACCTTGGAGCAACCAATCAGGTGAATCCGTATTATACAGACGTACTTATGGATGCTGTACACCTTTTGCGTAGCAAATTCGCTCCATATCTTGTTATCGATTACTGTTTTTTGGGAGAACAAACTGATAGGAAGGTCGAAATAGTGTCAATGTGGAGGTGTCATGTATATACAAAGATGTACTAGGTGCATTGATGGATTTGTTGACAGGTGCGATGAGTGCCAGACCAGAAAGTCAGTTCGAGAAGGTATGCCGTTCTTTTTTAGATTACAGATTCCGTAGATACTTTTTCGCCAAGTCTAAGTTACCGTTAACGAAAATTATAATGATGTGTCATAACTAGGTGCTTTAAAGACCAGTAACAGCAACAGCGGATGAATCAGAAGTATCTGCAGTGCAATGGTACCAGTACTGCAGAGATATAACATCAATGGAAAATGAACAGACTGACTCAAGTACTTGGCGGCGTTGGCATCATTGTTCATGTGGAGGAGACAGTGCAGATGAAAAGAAAATATAATCGAGGTAGATTGAGTGTGAATCAGCAGTGGGTGTTGGGGATATATGATACCACCCCCCACAAAGGATATATTGAGGCGATCCCTAATCGCAGTGCTAATGTCTTATCACCTATAATCCAATGCTTAGTGATGCCTGGAACAACTATTCATACAGATGAATGGAGTAGTTATAGTCAACTACCAACCCTGGACGTCGTCAACCATACAAATGATTTCATCAATCCTTTCGATGGAACTCACACTAATTCCATGGGAAATTTTTGGAGTCACCTCAGAAAACGGATCAGATCTGTGAATGGATCAAGAAATGCAATGATATACAGTTATCTCGATGAGTTTATGTAAAGGGCTTGGTTTAACATAACTATGAAGACTCCTATGAGAAATTGGGAGGTTATTTTTGGAATATATACGAGAACTTTATCCTTTGTAACTATTTTTTAACATTGCATTACTTTTATATAAACGTTTTATTCAAATTATGCGCTTTTACTATAGAGGCGTCTGATTGGTCAAAGTTGTTGTTGTCATGGTAGTTTCAGTTTGGGCTGCTATAGTTTAGAGTCACCAAGAACAGTTGCTCGCCTATGACACATTGGCTGGCGGTTGCGTTATACATATCACGAATTGGTAGAAGTTGGTATTCATGGGCTGGACTTTGAGGAGTCGGGTCTCAGTGGCTGAATGGTCTACGACCTCACCTTGTAACTGGGAGGTCTCAGGTTGGAACCCCGGTGGGTGCTTACTGATGAGGAGTCCTAAGCTAGGACAAAACGGCTGTCCAGTAGTACCCTCAACTAGTTTTCCAGTGGTTCTCTAACTGATGTCAACTCGTTATCAAAGCTGAAAATAAAATTATTAGTGATAAATGCATATGTACAAAAAGAACTTCAAAGTGTATAAATATGTTGAAACGACGTGATTATGGTTTGCAGAGGGATACAAAATGGCATCGTAGATATGAGCTAAGTGCCTAGCAGGTTTATTGGCTGAACTGGAAGGTGTAAGTGATACAACCACTTATCATTTATCCAAATCATGATGACATTGGCTGACCGTCACGCTAAAATTGCGAATCGACAGATGTTAAAATTTATTGGCAATTGGATTCCATCCCAGCGGCTAAATGGTCACAACAAGTTTGCCTCGTAACCCGAAGGTCCTGGGTTCGATGCTCCAACGGTGGAGCTATAGGGGCATACTGATGAAGAGCCCACAGTTGTCCAGTCCTCCCCTAGTACTGACATCAATCTGTGGTCAAACTTGAAACAAACTGAACCTCCACAAACTAACTATTGAGAGAAAAAAATGCAATATTGCTTAAAGAAATCGGCAAACATTAAGGATATAGACCACGCAGTGGAAACGCACCAATGACTTTGCACGCATACAATTCGTTGGATTACAGAAATTGCCATGTATTTTATACAAAAAGCCATTTCTAATTACGAGAAAAATTAATATAATAATAGTTAGACACGTGAAAGACTATATTTACCCTGGTGTAACTGAGAAATAATTTCCCAATTAAAATGAAGCGTATCAGTTGCTGAGTTCCCCATAACTATCAAAACGGTTTTATCTATATGAACCAGGAAATACTCTCCTCCTCAATCCTGACACTTACTTTAACCCTAATTCTAACCCTAACCCTGATACCAATCCTGACCCTAACACGTGCTATCAACCCATAGATCACAATGAAATTCGCCCCTGAATTCGTGCACAGCTGACGCTGTAGCATAACAGCAGGTTGTATTATTCCAACGAATGATAATGCATTCAAGACCCTGGACACTATTTCTTTAGGTTAACCCAGAAATCTCTGTGTACCAACTACCGCATTAATCATCACGTCGATATCAGTCGATCCAGAAAGATAGATAAGTAATGCTTTCTCGTGATAGAGATTATCACTTACCAAACACCCGTGCAGCAACGCACATATAGCGTAGCGCGATTGACTGTTAACAATCACACAGTAGTAGCATCAACATACAATCGATATAATAATAATAATAGTGTCAAGGCAACTTAGAGAAAAAAACGCCTTCCAGAAACTAATCATTTCAATTCAATAAAACACTACGAAGAAAATAGAGTTTTCACCTAATGAGGTGGATACTAATAAGTTGCTGAGAAAAGATTTCCAATGTACCGGACTACAAGTCACACAGACAATATTTGAGGGCAAAAGGGGTCTCGAACCCTGGACCCACTGGGTGTAAGGCAAGTCCATAAATCAATAAGCTGCTGCATCTCTTGGCCTAACTGGCTGACTGAATGAAGTATTTCAGTTTTTATTAACCGAAACATATGATGAATCTGAATAAGGGAGGAACAAATGAGCATAATATTCGGGGTGAGGAGAGGTGGAGTGGTACTAAATTGGTTTCAAACTATGATAATACTGACAGTAATATTATTATTGTTGTTGTTGTTAAGAATTATAGATGATATACGTGTGAAAGAAGGTGAATTGATCAATTCGAAGATTTACACAAAGACGGCAGTCAGTCGCCCACAATCAATACTATTTATAATACCAGACATTTATATATACATGTACAAAGTTGAACAAAGGTATGATCTATAAATGTTGAAACAATAAACTATTATAGAAAAAACAAAATAAAGACTTAATGTCTTTAAAGTTCTCAAGTTTTTGTTTACTTCACACAAAATAACACTTAACAAACAATCCACAATCGACACTAAAAAGTAACTAATTAACTCTAAAATACTTTGCTATTTCATCAAAGCGAATTTCTAGCAAAGAAAAAGTTGACACCTAAGGAAATAAAGTGACAAATACAATAATAATAATAGTAATAATATCAAGTGTTGATTTGTAACGATTCGATTGGTCATAAGTGTAGCTACGCGTTCATCGTAGGTATGTACCGATGAAGAGTCCAACCAAAACTAGGACGAAACAGCGGTCGAGTACTCCCGGGCTTTCCAATGATTCTTTAACTGGTGTGTCAACTACTCGTGATCAAACTTTTAAATAGTTAATAATAGGCGACCAATAGTACACGTAAGCTAAATGATGAGTCATACGTTTTCACCATTTCCCGCCATCGCTGTCTTCAATATACAACACCGCGTTCAAAATGGTGAATCTGATTGAAAGTTGTGTGTTTAAACGAATAAGTCACAACTTGATAACAGATAGGATGAACTCATAAAAGATCATCCAAGTAACTAAACTAACTAACTGGTTTCAACATAAAACTTTGTACAGGAGTGCAGCACAGTTCAAGTCGCCACACTCCTGAGCTTCTTATAGACCTGCTTCCACCTCTTCGTAATCAAGCAAGACAATGTTCTTGCACCTTCTTGAACAAAACCCATGTTGGACAACAGATATATGCCTAGCTTCACAGAAGCAGGTGAACCGATAAACAGACATAGAGTTGATCAACTACTGGGTCTGGTTACTTCAGGTCATTGATCGATAATTGTCGACTAGGGAAGAAAAAACAACAACACTATTTTCAAAAGATGCTGCAGCGAATGTCGTTTTCAAGTGACTGTGTGGTCCTTCTTTTAAAGATGTCAGTAGCTAAGTCACCTACCTTAGAATTCAAGGTTCATATGTGGTATTTTTCTTGGCTACAGATTTTAAATCACATTTCATAAAGTTTTAACTGTACGTTTCTGTCGATAAATCAACCACACTTTTATACAAAGCATTTATATATATAAATATGTATATATTTATATACTTACTCTCTTTAGTTGGTTTAACTCTGGCAATTCAATATCGATCATATTGGCGAAATCAATATACTCTTTCACTTTTAGTACAGAAGGTAAAATAGATCGAAGTTGTAGTTCTATTTTGCTTGCATCGAATAATCTACTGTTAACATCATCATTGTTACTAACAACAATAGTAGAGACAGTCGTAGTAGTAGTTGTTGTTGTAGTAGCAGCGGCAGTATCATCCATATTGATGTCAGTGATACTGTGAACATCCTCAGTGGTGTTAAGCTCTAGCTTCTTATTTAACTGTGCCAATAAACTGCGCACTTCATTTCTCCATGATGTGATATGATCAGCAAAATCTTGTAATTCATTTAATTCAGGTAGAACAACTGGTAGATTTGTAGCCAATTTAACTATGCTGGCGAATTCATTCAATGTTATCTGGTATTAAATAAAAATTCATGGGAGATTTATGAATATAAGTAACAGTAACATAACAACAGTATATAGATTTGTATTTAATTTAATTTTGAGTATACTGAGAATATGAAAACTTCGATTTTATGACGTTCAAAGTGTTCAATGGTTCTCTGAGTGATATCAATCTGTGACCGAACTTCAAAAACAAAATTAGTCTAATGGTCGCCAATGACTGACTACACAACAAATTTGACTGCAGTTCTAGTAGTAAGTTATGAGATGGCTAGGTCACGTGCTGCGCATGCCTAGCCATCGCCTCTCCCGACGGGCATTACTAGCTGATATAGGTCCACGTTGGAAAAGTGTAAGTGGTGGCCAAACAAAAACATGGCCTCATCAATCCATGGAATCCTTGACAGTTAAACTGAGTCAGGTAGGGAGATGCAGACTTCCGGGTTGGGGCCCGCCCTCGGGACTCTAAGAATCAATGGCTGGAGACAATAGGTGACATGGCTCAAAATCGTTGTCAATGGCTTACGCAGATGTATTCAGTTTCTGTAATCTTTCATATTCCTTTCTACCATTACTCATTCTGTTTCACTCTTATACTTGTCAAAACTCTGTCAATTCTCTTCATTCATCTTCTTGTCTACCTTTGTGTGGTATTTGGAACGTGGCAACTTGAACTGCTGCACTTCGGTGACAAGTTCTATGTTGAATCCAGACAGACAGTATGTCATGACCAGTGAGGTTCACCCTGTCGGCAGTGAGGACAAATAACTGCCACCGATGCCATTCGCTGGTGTCAGTCGCATGGACTGGTCATAGGATAGGGTCTCAGTGGCTGAATAGTCTACGAGCTTCACTTATGACTGGAAAGTCCTGGATGGATGCGTACAGATGCAGAGTTCCAAAGTAGGACGAAACTGCTGTCCAGTACTCCCTGGCGGTTTTCCAATGGTTTTCTAACCGATGTCAGCTTATGATCAAATCATGTAACCAATAAAGTCATATCCCTGCAAACTAACACTTGAAATTCAACTTTCAGTAGATGGGTACCGGGTCCGAGTCGCACATCACCTACTTAAGCCTGCGAGCAGTATTATTAGCCCCCAAACATATTAGATTTGATTTATAGCCTAGTATTGGGTGATTGAGATCTATCTAACTAAATAAATAACTAGATTGTTTACAAAATCTTTTAGTACGTCCTTTTAGAGAGACTATACGTAACCACCCTGACTTTTAAAAATTACTGTGGATCAGCAAAATAAATAGCAGAAGAGTTTGTAAGTTATTTAAGATACCAACAGACATGACCAGTAGCAAAGTGTAGTTTATAGAATAAAGCGTTCAAAAAATCACTGACCTTGAGTTCAAACTAAGAAACTAAAATTAAGATAATGAGTATTGGCGGGAAGTAAACTACCTGCTTTCCAGGAACATTTTAACCGTAGCCATAAGTGTTAATCATGAACAACACTTTAAGTATTAGGTAGTATCACTGACACCATTGACATGAATACCACAGCGACTTCGTGAACTGATGTCATCACTTCCTCTAGTCACCTTCAGATTTCTGCTAATCTATGTCTAACTATACAAATATATCATACTAAAATAAACAGTCAGTGAACACGAGTAACACCTATATCCGCATACACTCCAAACAATGAAGGTGGATAAAGCACTCCACTGAATTACTCAACTTACCCCCATACATCCATATTGACATCCTTCATTACTTAAATCGCGATTTATAAACAAAAATATAGTTTAGAATACAGCAATTAACATTAAACATGGTCAATCGTTCAAAACATTGGTAAGCAAATACTTAGAGTCTTCTCAGAACTTTTGCAACAATACACTCGCACAAAAACAAACTCCCTTGAAGTACACGCAACTTTTAGTCAGGAATCAAATACGTCACCTGCGACATAAGAAACAAAGCTACGTCCGATGCCAAATCACACGTAAGACGAATAGTCGACATGCTAAGTAGAGAACTCATCCACACAAGTTTAAAAATAGTGACATAAAATTAACAGGTGAAGAACGCCAACGAACAATCCTTAAATCCCCACTGCAAATGGTCAGAAGACTCTATGTCAACTTGTCAGTGTTTCCACCGAACAGAATTGTCGAATTAGCGTACTCTGAGACAATTAAAAAAGCCTCCTCCTGAGATGAAGTCTATTACAGTGTAGCTACATGCGAGAATAAAGACCTTCATAAGCATATTTATCCACTACAAAGGTAGAAAGTGTTCTTCCTTGACCGATACTATTCGACATAGACACTTCTAAACAAAACAGCGCAGTATAAGCTTTAGAGTGATCAACTCGTAAAAACAAAACTAACCCTTACAAACCAAGCTATAGAAAATTAACCTGATGCTCGCTAGTGACTGACTTGCTACAGGATGGAGTTTCCTGGAGTCAGTTCTAGTGAGAAGTCGTGACCAGTGAGGTCCACCCAGATGTCACGTGTGAGGATGGATGTCCCACCAACGACATTGGTTGAGATCACGATAAATCACGAATTGGTAGAAGTTAGAATTCATGAGCCATTGAATCGGGTCCCACTGGTGGCTGAATGGTATACGAGCTTGCCTTGTAACCTGAAGGTCCTGGGTTCGATGATTTCCAAAAACTAGGCTGAAACAGCAGCTGTCCAGTACTCCCTGGTTTTCAATGGTTCTCTAACTGAGATCAATCTGTGATCAACTCGTAAAAATAAAACTAACCCTGGCAAACCAAACTATAGAAAATTTAGAGTAAACAAGGATATTCATATTTAGATACTGAAGGAAACGTATACTTTAACAGGTATTCCTTTCAATCAAATAACCCTTTCCATTGATGCCGTCAACTCCTAGATTCAAGTCAGTGGATACAGCTAGTGTACACCTTCCATAAATTTCTTAGTCATGATCTGATAGAAGCTGCACACATCAGGTTGATACACTAGCGTATCCTTATCCTCTTCAGAAATATGTTTGTAAAAAGTAGTAATAACAGTCAGGCAAAGTGAGAAAGAGAATGATGCATAAGAATTAGATAGAAGAGAATTTATTCGTCACCAAATAACCAAATGTCACAGACATTTAGTTATTTTGAACTTGCAATCAAATTTTGTAGCTAATACACAAAACTTGAGATAGAATAACTATCACTTCATCTGATAATCATGAACAACACATGTTATGCAATAAGTAAGCGATAGAACTCACCTTTGAGATAAACGGACCCTTCGCTGTAGACGATTTACTACTTCGTGTTCGATATGAACAGGTTTCATTGGAATTCTTACGTGTTGACCGTAAAGCATAATTTTTATGAGTTGTTTTCAAATTATTATCATTATTCGTATTATTATTATTGTTATTATTATTATTATTACTATTATTATTTGATGTTCGCTCATCACTGATATTTTCAGCTTTCTCTTTCTTTACTACATCATCAACACTGTTGTCCTTCTTCAATCTTCGACTGCTTCTACGTAACGAAATACCTGATGAATTGCGACAATCCTCACCACTTGTTTCATTATCCTTAGCATTATCATCATTATCATCATCATCATCATTATTATCATCCTCATCAGCTGATTCTTCTTCTGAAGTCGAGTGAATAGATCCAGAAGAATTTAAAATATCCTGTATACGTTGTTTATTGTACTTTTTCAAATCTTTATTATCTTCTGCCTCCTCCTCTCCGTCATCATCATCCTCATTATCCTCATCATCATCGCTATCATCATCTTCATTACCTGAATCGGTCATATCAGATTTAGAAGATTTTATATCTAATATTTTAATATTGTTTACTCTTTCACAGGCTTTCTTATAACTCATAATTAATTGGTGTATCACTGAAGCGCATTCATTAATTGTACCGATTATATGATTTAAACGTGACACCATTGAACTAGGATATTGACGTGTTCGACCAATCTTTAAGAGTTCCTAAGAAAGAAAGAAAGAAAGAAAAAAAGAGAGAAATGTTATTGGGCAATTGACACCACTACTACTACTACTGTGGTGAGAGCTGGCTGCTAGCCAAAGTTGGTACACAGTAATTGACGTCAATGTTTATGTCCACAATATTGGTGGTGAGAAAATGATGAGAACAAAGGCTTTGCGTAGGCGGATACAGTTAGCATATGGGTGATCTGACAAAGCCGCAAAGACATACAAGGTGAACTTTCTGTGAGAAACAACCAATCCAAAGACTGTATTTTCTACTAACAATAATCTACAATAATGTACATTAAAATCTATAAATATGTGTTGATTTTCCTTAAAAAACGATCTGTTGCCTGGCTCTTGTCTTCTGTTGTTACACTACTACTACTGTAACGACAGAAGGCAAGAGACAGGCAACAGATCATTTATTAAGGAAATCAACGCATATTTATATATTTTCATGTACATTACTATGGATATTTAAGCATACAAACACAGTCTTCCGATTGGTTGTTTCTCACGTAAAGTTAATCTTTCATCTATTTGTGACTGTTTCTTGAATGTCAAATCCTCTATATGTTAACTGCATCCGCCTACGCAAAGTCTGCTGTGGTCGGTTTTGAATCAATCTTTGTTCACATTTTCTCACGACAAATCTTGGGAACGTAAATATTGACGTAAATTACTGTCTACCAATTTGGCTAGTAGACAGCTCTCACCACACTACTACTACTGTGATGAGAGCTGGCTGCTAGCCAAAGTTGGTACACAGTAATTGATGTCAGTCAATGTTTATGTCCCCAATATTGGTGGTGAGAAAATGATGAGAACAAAGGCTTTGCGTAGGCGGATACAGTTAGCATATGGGTGATCTGACACAGCCACAAAGAAATGCAAGGTTAACTTTCTGTGAGAAGCAACCAATCCAAAGACTGTATTTTCTACTTACAAAAATCTACAATGATGTACATTAAAATCTATAAATATGTGTTGATTTTCCTTAAAAAACGATCTGTTGCCTGGCTCTTGTCTTCTGTTGTTACATTAATAATAATAATAATACTGTTAAATGTAAACCAAAACACCACTCATTTGTTTAAAGCTATTCAGAATAGCCATCAGTATCTGATTATTTAATCACTGATGGTTTGTATTTTTTCTTTTATTAGCTATACAAAATATTCGTCAGTTTATAATGACAGGTGTATGAAAATCGATATGTGATGAACACTTTGCACACACACTTTATAACAATTTTGCGGGTAACTTGCTGAAGCATCATAACATGTGTCAACTTGTAATACTGACTATTTATTGATATATATATATATATAAAACCATTTAAAACTATAAAAGAAGCAAAGCATTTGATGTATTCAGATTGTTGAAAAATCGATCTGCTTGAGTAAGGACATCATTTATAGCTTGGTATATTCACCCTTCGACAGATTCTGGAATATCAGCATACTACACACTCACTGGCTTCCTTCCAACAATTGGGATATTTTTTTGATCTGAAGGTGGAATTCGACTCCATCAACCGAAGGGTGTTATTGGGCAATGTTTGGCAGTCTATTCGAGCTCACACAACCGTGTAAGAGACTATGGAGAGTTGTCATGTGAAGCAATGACAACCCCAGGGGTGTCTCTATTGGGGATGACTACTGTCTCCTTTTCTGTTTAAATTCATCTTAGACGTAGATGTGTGCTACATAGAGTGTGGCAACTTGAACTGCTGCAATTCTATGCAAAGTCCTATGCTGATACTCAATTAAATTCAGCCTGGATCAACTGGCTACTCAAACAACAAGTGTGGCTATTATAGCCCGTTGCATGATATAGATAATTCCCAGTTAACTGAGATTATAGAAACGATAGTGTGCGTCGGTGGCATAGCGGTTAGGACGCTCGCCGACCATGCACATGGTCAGGGGTTCAATCCCCGGCCAGCGCACTCCTTTACCCCGATAAGCCAGAACTAAAAAGCTGGCGAAGAGGAAACGTTGGGCATGAGGCTAGCAACATCATCCTGTAAAAATAAATACTGCTAAAGAAACTTCAGGCCACTGGCTTAAAGCCCTATGTTCCACTGGTAACGTGAAGGAATAAAAAAAATAGAAACGATAACGAAGACGAGGCATTCGGAAGGCAAAAATCTGTCCTGATGAGCAGGTACAATGATGCAAGTTCTGTGTAGTTAAATCACTTTTTTAAACAGCAATAAGTCTATGACAGGTTCTTTCACAAGTTTAAACAGAATTACTGTGTACTTTTAGAGATGATTTAAAAATAAAAATGTTAAAAGCTAATAAGCCAAGAAAAATCAGAAATATCTTAACAAATAAATGATAAAAATAAAATTCTCTATGGCTGTACCGCGATGAAAACACCGGTTCTCATCCGACTACCTAATTTAGGCAACGTTAAGGGCACGGTTGGTGTTTGCGCAAAGGTGACCGGCCAGAAATCCCAGTTGTTAAAACAAAAAAGACATGTTGATGGTTCAGTGGTAGACTAATCGTCAACTATGCCGTCTCACGTGGTCCATAGTTCGATACTCTTGGCCGACACATTCCTTAGCCTCGTTCAGCCCACAGTAAGCCGGGTACAGAAGAGAGGTTGACCATGAGGCTAGCAACGCCACCCCGTAAAAAATAAACACCTCTGCTACTACAGCCTTAAAGCACAAGCTTCAAAACCCTATGTTCCGCCGGGAACGCAGAGGAATGAAAACAATATGTATTAAAAGCAAACAGACAAGCATACTTCTCATAAGTGAACCTCTAAATTTAACAATAAGAATTGTATCCCATTACGGTGCACTGAGTAGTGTATACATATGGGTGTTTCATGGATAACTGGTCACATTCACTTCCTTTAGAGGTAAATACTCTATACAGTTGTTAAAATCGAAGTACAGTAGGCTGACTAAGAAATGAAAGTTAATACAGATGACCTTCATTTATTCCTGATAAGTTTCACAAATAAAGAGAAAACCTCTCAAGTGTGGGGTTGAAAGTATGTACGCATAGTGGAACGTGTGAAAATCTGTACTACTGCCATTTAATGTCACGGACTTTACTTTAGTAAGGAGGAAACAATCTCAGACATTTTCTTACAATGCTAGGGATGCTTAAATGAATATAAAAAAATAATTAGATTCTTATTTTCTTTTTTACTTCATTCAATTAATTTGTACTACTAACGAGAAGGATAAAAGTAGTTGATGATGATACAGAAAAGAAAACAGTTCAGTTAGAAAGTTAGACAGTTTCCCAAATCACTACACGACTGGAGGAAACGATGTGTGACGCTTCAGCACGAACGAATAACTCTAGTTGCAATAGACACACACACACAAGAAAAAAAAAAGAACACTCAAACATCAGATGATCTGGTTTTCACGAAAGACCAGTTTAACACTGTTTACAATGTAAAACAATTTCATCAATAAGGTTTATATTCTTTTTCTGAATATAGTCGATTTTAATCTGCCTAACTTAATGCAGATAGAATACAAATGTTAAGGTTTTCCAAAATGCTAAAATCACGAGCACCTCATTCATTTCGATTGTAGAACACGTCACTGTGAGATATATACGTAGAATGAAAACCAAACTATCTGTACTTGGAAAAATATATCAGTAGAACATTCACAAACAACTGACAACTAAGCTTTATTCGAGTAGCTGAAATGATCCCACAGACACAGAAACTAGGACGAAACAGCTGTCCAGTACTCCCAGTTGGTTTTCCAGTGGTTCTCTAACTGATGTCATCTCATGACGAAATCCTCCATGCAATCAATCAAACAAAATCCCTACAAAACCAATAATTGAAAATTAATCTGATGCTCACTAGTGACTGGCCCTATTCAGGCTGGCAGTTACCTGGGGTTCTAGTGGGAAGTCGTGACCAGTAGGGTACAGCAGGTTGAAGATGAGGCAGTAACTCATCGAAGAAGATATTGCGAAATGGTCACGCTATGTCATGAATTGGCAGAAGTTAGAATGCAAGCACCATTGGATCGGGTCCCAGTGGCTCAATGGTCTACGAGCTCGCCTTGTATCCAGAAAGTCCTGGGTTCGAACCCCGGTGGGTGCGTACTGATGAGAAGTCCCAAACTAGGGCGAAACAACTGTCCAGTACTTCCGGGTTTTCCAATGGTTGCCTAACCAATGTGAGCTCATGATGAAATTCTCCATGCAATCAGTCTATCTATCAGAGAATGTCTGAAGTGTACCGCGGTTCTTTCTATCCTACCTTGCGACAGTTAGACACAAATATTAGACGTGAAAAGATTAGCGACTTTCGACTATAGACGCCCTTGTTCTGTCTCTCTCGTATTAGACGGAGCAATATGATTGATAATAATGAGGCATAGGCATAGAATAGAAAATCAATCGATAACGTTGAAAAGGTCCACTGCAGTTTCATCACACTTCCCCCTCCCTTTTATTTATACGATTCTCTGAAATGTGCCAACTTGAACTCACACAGTTTGTGTACAGAGTTTTACGTTGATGCCTTAGTCAGTAAATTAGTCAACAGATGAAATGTGTTCACTCATTTTCATACAGCTATGTACTATAATATGTACCATCTATTCAAAGCCAACATATCGTTTTATGATTGATAAAAGAAACAGTGTTTATATCTTAGTGGGTCAAGAATTCACTGAACAACTTACATTCAGTTCCAATAAAGTTGGTTTTTGACGTTTTTCTCCTTTTTCTTCTTCTTCTTCTGGTTTCACTTTCGAAGATGTGGATTGTGAAGATGTTGAACACACTGAAATATAATGAGGATAGTGTAATAATAAAAAAAAATAGTAATGATATCAAAATTTCCGTAATTGGGTCTGTAGAGATTCAATTGACGAACCGATATTAATTACAGAATTGTCCTCGATTTCATTGGGTTCTAACTAAACGTTATGACTGGTGATGTCTACTAAATCAAGTGTGCAAACAACAGTTACCTACCAATGATATCAGAGAAGGTGGTATGTTGAGAATTTTAAATCATTAGAATTTATGGGGCATTGGAATTCAACTCAACAGGTGAATAGTTAACGTGTACTTATTTTAACTTAAGGATGCTAGGTTCTACCTATCACTAAAGAATTCCGAACCGAGAGGGAACAACTAACCAGTACTGCCTAGTTACTCAAACTGTTGTCACTTCCTAATTAAATCTACTTTGAAATGATGTTGAAAAAGACCACTTTGAAGGATACGAATGACACTGAAAATAAAAGCGTTTAAATTTAATTACAAGCTAACAAACTAAGTCTTGAAAATTAATCTGATGCTTGCTAATGACTGGCTACAGAGAGAAACTGTCTGCAGGTCTAGTCAAAAGTCACGACCAGTGGGGCCACCAGGTCGAGAGTGAGGAAAAGTACTTGCATGCCGATGACACTGGCTGGTAGTGGGCGCGTTCTGTCTGTCTGTCTGTTTTCGGCAGAGAAATTCGCACATATGTGCGGCAGTTCAAGTCGCCACACTCCATGTAGCACACAAAGGAAGATAAGAAAGTAGAAGAAATGCATAATATAGACAGTAAACAGAGGTGTGAGACAAAGGAATAGTGATAACGGAGAACAAAACAGTTTCATTGGAAATCATAAGTCACAAGGAGTGGATGCATCTGCGCTAGCCATTGAGAACGATTTTGAACCATGTCACCAATTGTTTCCAACCATTGGTTTTTACCGTCCCGAGGACCCCAACCAGGAAGTCTACACCTTCCTACGTGGCTTAGACTAACTGTTGTAGATTTCATTGACTGATGAAGCCATGTGTTGGTTTGACCACCACTGGCTAACTCTTTTCCAACCTGACCCTATGTCAGCTAACATTGCCTGTCGAGGAAGACGACGGATGGTTAGGCACACATACGTAACACATGTTCTAACCATCTCAGTCGATGTAAGTTCACAGTCTCGTCAATTGATTTGCCCTCCTTACCTAGAACGCGACGCCTAACCTCAATATTGCTCACCTTATTATACCACTTCACACGGGAGATAGAACGCAGACACTCATGATCAAAGACAACTAATCTTTTCTTGTCTTCCACTCTCAATGGCCAGGTCTCACAGCCATAAAGGAGGACGGAGCGGACTGCTGAGCAGTACACACGCCATTTGGTCGATAGTCGGATATCACGTCTACGCCAGAGACGGCGTAAACTGGCATGTGCGAAACTAGCCCTCTGTATTCGTGCTGAGATTTCGTCAGAGATCAACCCGTTTGGGCTGATGGTACTTCCCAAATAAGTGAAGCGGTCAACGTGCTCTACCACTTCACTTCCTATTTCTAATCTAGGAGTCGGTGAAGTCCAATCCTGTAACATCACCTTGCATTTGGCGGGAGCCAATCGCATGCCAAACATTCGTAGATTGCAGCTCAAGGTGTTCAGAAGACTGTATTTTGTCGGCGTCCTCGCTTAGAAGGACTATATCGTCTGCATATTCTAAGTCAACGAGATTATTCCCTGGCACCAAGTCAATCTCTGAGTCTCTGAAGTGAGTTAGGGTTAAGTCCATTAGTACATCTATGATGAAGTTGAATAGAAATGGGGATAATGGGCACCCTTGACGGACGCCACTGGTCGTCACCACTTCAGATCACAACTCGCCGCGTTTTAATCAGTTGGAATGTATTGGGTTGCCATTGGATCCAGTCCCAGTGACTGAATAGTCTATGGGTTTGCCTGGTAAACCAGAAGGTCCTATGTGGGTGCATACTGCTGGAGAGTACCAAATTAGGACGAAGCAGCTATCCAGTACTCCCTGGCGGTTTTCTAATGGTTCTCCACCAACTGATGTTAGCCCGTGATAAAACTTAAAAGTATTCAGCTGTGGTCTAGCAACTTTGAACTAACAGATATTTGTTAACGCCTCAAAATTTTCTTCAAAATAACCAAAATTAAGGTAGTCAATCAGGAAGTGTTATATATTACTATGCACACAATAAGTAAGACTAACAACTCTAATGCAGTATGACTACTACATGAGTTATATAAAGAGAAAAATAAAATAAAGTGTTAGTAAATAGTAGATGGAATAAAAACAAACCAGTAGCTAATCAATCACATCTATATATATGCCAATTGAAATATAAAAAATTTCTTCATATGGCTATATGACCGGAAAATATTACATGAAGTATTAAAAACAATTAACAGAAACGTGATATGTGTAAATTGTTCAAGTTGAGAAAAGAAAAACAACAAGTGAATGAAAGAGAACCTACAGAAACAGTAATTATATCTACTGCTACTCCTACTACTGGTTTCAACGTAGAACTCTGCGCCGATGTGCAGCAGTTCCAGTTGCCACATTTCACTTAGCACACAAATCAAGAGGAGAGTAGAAGAAAAATTCAAAAGAGAGATAATAAACAGAGATATTAGGCAAAAAGAATAGTAATATGGAAGAACAATAGAATTTTATTGGATATTATAAATCACAAGGACTGGATACATCTACCCCACCACCCATCGAGAACGATTTTGAGCCATATCACCAATTGTCTCCAGCCGTCATTGGTTTTTACCAACCTGAGGACCCCAACCAAACAGCCAACCAGTCTACACCTACCTAAGTGACTAGCCTAAACTAACTGTTGTGGATTTCATTGACTGATGAAGCCATGTTTTGATTTGACCACCACTGGCTCTTTTTCAACCTGATCCATCCTATGTCAGCGGCTAACACTGCCCGTCGAGGAAGTCGATGGATGGCTAGGCAGGCATGCGTAACACATGCCCTAACCATCTCGATCGATGTAACTTCACAACCTCATCGATTGATTTCCCCTCCTTACCCAGCACTCGACGCCTAACCTCAATACTGCTCACCTTATTATATCACTCAACATGGGAGATAGAACGCAGACACCCATCATCAAAGACAGCTAGCCGGCCTTTTGATGTCTTCCACTTTCAATGGCCAGGTCTCGCTCACAGCCATAAAGGAGGACAGAGCAGACCGTTGAGCAGTACACACGCCCTTTGGTTGACAGCCGGATATCACGTCTACTAAGCCAGAGATGGAGTAAGTTGGCATATGCCAAACGAGCCGTCTGTATCCATGCTGAGATTTCGTAGGCGATCCAACCCGCTGGTGTTGGCTGATGCAACTTCCCAAATAAATGAAGTGGTCAACACGCTCTACTAACCACTTCACTCCCTATCTTTAAGCTAGGAGTCAATGTAATTCCAGTCCTGTAACATCATCTTAAATTTCACGGGAGCGAATCCCATGCCAAATATTCGAAGACTGAGTAATTATATCACAAAGATTTAAAGCCCACAAGTTTCTGTCTGTCTAGATTGGCAATAAGATGCGTTCACCAAATCCACATACACTAATATAGTGTCAAAGAAAAAAAGAAAGACTGTGAATAAAGCGTCAATAACCGCAACACAGATACATTATTGTAATAACAAAGACAAAATAAAAAATTGATAATTGTTAAGAACTCGATAGTCTGTCTGGATTTGACATAGAACTTGGCACCGAAGTGCAGCAGTTCCAGTTGCCACGTTCCAAATACCACACAAAGGTAGGTAGACAAGAAAATGAGTGAAGAGAATCAATAGAGTTTTGACAAGTATAAGAGTGAAACAGAATGACTAATGGTAGAAAGGAATATGAAAGATTACAGAGACTGAATGCATCTGCGTAAGCCATTGACAACGATTTTGAGCCATGTCACCTAGTGTCTCCAGCCATTGATTCTTAGAGTCCCGAGGGCGGGCCCCAACCCGGAAGTCTGCATCTCCCTACCTGACCCTACCCTATCACCTAGTACTTGCATTTTACAGGGGCGAATCGCATACCAAACATACAAAGATTGCTGCTCAAGGTGTTCAGAAGACTCTGCATTTTGTCAGCATCCTCCCCTAACAGGACTATGTCATCTGCATAAGACTATTTTCCCTGGTAACAAGTAGATTACTAAGTCGTTAAGTTCAGTTAATGATACTTCCATTAGCATATCTATGATGAAGTTAAACAGAAATGGGGAAAGTGGACATCCTTGACGGACACCACTGGTTGTTATCAATTCAGATGACAATTCCCCATAAGCCCTTACACAGCTACGTGAGTTTGAGTAGAGTGCCTTGATTAGTGCAATGTACTTTCTTGGCGCTCCCTTCACAGTCAAACATTGCCATAGTACCTCTCGATCCACGGAGTCGAAGGCCGCCTTCAAGTCAAGAAATATGGCAACTGTTGGACGCCTAAAAGTGTGTCTATGTTCTAGGATCTGTCGGAGAGTGAAGATATGATCTATGCGCCCTCTACCTGGCCTGAAGCCTGCTTGATTTTCCCTCGTTTGTTCCTCCCGAGTTCGGCTTAGTCTGTGCATGATTACTGAGCCTAGGATCTTAGAGACTATGTTCGTCAGGCTGATAGAACTCCATAGACCCATGTTTTTAACCTATAACTAGTTAACGCACATTCGGATATCGAAACCAACCGAATTCCATATTAATTCGTTGATTAGATATATCACACAGTGAGAAAGTAGTACTATTCACTGGATGACGAAGTTTCGAACACAATTTATTATCCCTCGAAGCTATATTACTAATAACTACACAAATTCGAAACTTCCGTTTTATAGTTTTCTTTATTCCTTCCTATTCGTCATAGAGTAAGTGGAATTTTCCAGATGCCTGGGACATGTGTTGAATCATTCCTATTGCACGCATTTTCGATAAATGAAGCTTCCGTTATCAATCTCTCCTTCCTCGCTGTTACATTAGATTTCAAAACTATCATCTTATCCCATCCTATTGTATGGTTGTGTGTAATTGCATGTAGTGAGTGGTATAGCTGAACTATTCTCCAGATTCCTTATCTTATTGATTAATTTTTTATTTTTATTTTTATTATAGCTTGATTCCACACAGTATTTTGGTACAACTATGGGATTTTCAGCATGTGATATCGGTAGCCCAAATTTAGCAGGCCGACCATTGATATCAGGTGTACATCGGCCGGGGATCGAACCCCAGACCGTGTGTATGGTCGGCGAGCGTCCTAACCTCTGTGTCACCGACGCACACTTTTGTGCTCCGCTTGTCTGATTGACCTCGTTCTACTGCTTCAACATGTGTATTTGGTCTGACAATCATTGCAGTGTACTAGATAAACTAAATTATTTTGTTCAATGGGATCCACAGGATCCTTTAACCGACACAGTTTGTTCCTATGCGAGTTTGTGGGTTTGAATGACACTGTTATTCTTGCTTTGTTAAAAATTTTGCGTAACGTTTCCTAGGTTCCTTCTTCGTATGGAAGTACTACTGATGATTTAAATTTCTTACCGTTAGAGTCGTCATTATTGAGTGAATGTTTGCCATGCATATCGTCATTATTATTATTATTATTATTATTATCAGTATTGGTACCATAAGTATTATTAATTTTTTTTATATTGTCCTACATACTTGATTAATTTATAAGGGTAATTAATATAAGTATGGCTATAGAAGCGATTAGAAACGAAGTTATTTCTAACTAAGAGGTTGAACTTAGAGCCAAAGTGCCACTAGAAGACATAATGCTAAAAGTGCAACTATGCCTTACTTCTACTGCATTTAAATTCCACAGAAAAATATACAAACAAACTGAGGGAATCAGTTGCCATGGCGTCGCCAATATTCCCGACATTGACAGATATATTAATGTAAAGGTGCGAAAACAGCAATTCAAAAACGTTCAGCCCCACCCCACCCCCAAAGTATGGTGAAGATGCATGTAGGCGGCACATTCACGGTACTAAGAACACAAGATATAAATAGATTTTTTCCGAATGTATCAACTCAAAAGTAGGGGAAATTCAATTCACTTATGAACTGGGAAGTCAGCAGGGGTAGCATCCAATGTTAGATTTTAGCATAAAAAGGAAAGAAGATGGGGCACTAGGGTTTACGGAAAACGGACACATTCAAACCGATATTTAGATTTCGATCCATCCCAACTTATGTCATGTGTAAAGTATGCCTGCCTAGCCATCGCCTTCCTCGACAATCAATGTTAGCTGACATAGGATCAGATTGGAAAAGAGCCAGTGGCCAGGTCAAACCAAAACATGGCGGCGTCAGTCAATGAAATCCACAACAGTTAGTTTAAACCAACCAAGTCTGTTTGTCTGTTTCGAAATAGAACTTTGCACCGATGTGTGGTAGTCGCTACACTCCATGTAGCACACAAAGCAAGAGAAGAAAGTACGAGAAATCCATAATAGAGACAGTAAACAGAGGTGTGAGACAAAGGTATAGTTATAACGAAGAACAAAAGTTTCATTGGAAATCATAAGTCACAACGAGTGGATGCATCTGCGCTAGCCATTGAGAACGATTTTGAACCATATCACTAATTGTTTCCAACCATTTACTTTTACTGTCCCGAGGACCCCAACCAGGCGACAAGTGCTAGGTAAGGAGGGGAAATTAGTCGACGAGACTGTGAAATTACATCGACTGAGATGGTTAGGACATGTATTACGTATGCCTAGTCATCGCCTTCCTCGACGGGCAATGTTAGCTGACATAGGGTCAGGCTGGAAAAGAGATAGCGGCGGTCAAATCAAAACATGGTACAAGTCAATGAAATTTACAAGTTAGTTTAAACCAGCCAAGTAGGAAGGTGTAGACTTCCGGGTTGGTGTTCTTGGGACAGTAAAAGCCAGTGGCTGGAGACAACTGATGATATGGCTCAAAATCGTTCTCAATAGCTGGCGCAGATACATTCACACCTTGTGACATATTTTTTTTCCTTCACGTTCCCCAGCGGAACATAGGGCTTCAAGCTAGTGGCTTGAAGTTTCTGTAGCAGTGTTTATTTTACAGGATGGGGTTGCTATCCTCATGCCCAACCTTTCCTCTTCACCAGCATTATTTCTGGCCTAGCGAGGTAAAGGAGTGCGTTGACCGGGGATTGAACCACGGACCATGTGCATGGTCGGCGAGCATCCTAACCGCTATGCCACCGACGCACTTGAGACATATAATATCCAATAAAACTATATGGTACTTCGGTAATACTACTGTTATTTCCTCACTCATATTTCTGTTTATTATTTCTGTTTTGAATCTCTCTTCACTGTCTTCTTTTGCTTTGTGTGCTACAATGAGGGTGTATGGCATCTGGAACTGCTGCACCCCTGTGCAGAGTTCTACGTTGAAACCAGTCAGTCAGTCTATCACCCTATGTCACTAAAAGTAGAATTGGTGAAATGTCTGAGTAATAGGGCAAAAAAATAATAAATATTACTGAGGAGATACCAAGGCAGGAAGTAAGGCATATAAGAGAAGCCTTAATAATAATTAAACAGATATACAATAAAAGTGTTTAGAATAACAGTAATTAATTAACAGTGTTTTTCTTACCAGGAGGTTCATTTTCCTCATCAGCATTATCTTCATCCTTCAGCTTAGATTTAACAGCAGCAGCAACAGGAGTATCAGAAGAGGCTTTCACACTATCACCATTATCATTATTATCACAATTATCCATAGGAATGTCCAAGTGATTATCTAATTTAGTCTTGACTTCAGAATTATTTTTATTATTATTACTATTACTGTCATCCATATTAGTAGATAATGTCATATCATTGGAATTAACAGATTTATTAGGCATTAAAATAAAAACATTATTTTCAAGTTGACATTTCCATTCTTCATATTCAGTTAATTTTTGTTGTAATCTTTCCTTGAATTCAGTTAATTCATCTAAATCATAACGATAACGCATTACTTGATTGTCACGTGAACAACATGTAAGTTTTTGATAATGAGCTAAGCATACCATATCTATAAAAGAGAAAATAATAAGAAGTGTTGAGTAGAATACACAGAGAATGATACATGTATACAGATGTATGTATACATGTCGATGTAAAATAACTAATTTATGATGAACATGTTATTATTTTCTAAAATTTCTATCTAACATTATAAATAGCTATTACGCTACAGATTCATATAAAATGAACTATGTACTCCTCTTTCTCTCTATTATACATTGTCCCAAAATAATATATGCATAAAATTAGTGAAACGTAAAATATTAATAAAGTGTACAAGGCTGTACTCAAACCGAAGCCTCAGGATGGTCGGGGGTGGGTGCCTTGCGCTGCGGGTTGGCCACCCCTCCTCACACCTCATGAAATGCTCCCATATGACCGGGCGTCTTACATAGCCTCTCCTGAGGAAGTCCTACTCACTGCCTTCACGTGGCGGAGGTGTTTTTCATCAAAGTGAGAGGGCGAAAGCGGATGTCCGGCGCTCTTCACCGGGTCAACCCGACTGTCCATTGGATGACAGTCTAGGGGAGATGGCTAAACCCTGATTCCAAACCTCCAACAACTGGCGTATGAAGCTCACTGGAGCTCACCGGCAGACGTATGGACAAAGGGCTTGTTGGATGTCCTGGATGTCTGGCCCCATTCAAAAAGGCGTATGAACCGAACTCCGGTCACCGGCTGCCAATGGATAGTGGACTCCCTACTCCACTCCTACTGCCTTGTAGGTCACACTTGGTTGTGTAAAGGCTAGAGCTGCACTCTCAAACAAAAGGCCGAGCGATTCTGGGGACATCACTTGTACCAAATTCCCATGAAACTTCATGAACTCTCTTACAAACGACTCTCACCATGCTACGGCGTACAGTCAAGGCTGATATGGAGTGCCTGGGGCTACAAACCGTCTGCGGAATCCGTCTGTGGAACAAGAATTGGATAACCCTGTCGCAAAACCTTGCATCAGATCGCCGTGCTTGGGCAGCGATGATTCGAGATGTTCATGAAGCCGGCTCATCCTCCCGTAGGAGATAGCCGAAGTAAAGTAAAGTAAGTAAACCGAAGCATAGCACCAATTACAGATAAACAGATATCGAAAGAAACAGTAACCCGACCGATAGGTGCTACCTTGATGTGGTGGTCAGGCTTGCATATCGCAATAACCCAACAGACTACACTGGCTGGAACTATTGTTACTGCAGGTCCTACCATGCCAGGAAGGTTGTTAGGATAGCGATTAGACTAAAAGCAGTTACCGGCATAATGTAAGAATTTTTTGTTACACTATGCTGGGGGTCTGTGGGCGAAGTCGTACTGCTGGGGGACAGGGATGCAACAGCAGTAAGGTGTTTCCCTCAGATGACCAGCATGCCAGCCAGCTATGCTGTCTCTCCACTATGGAGGGAGGGGGTTAGAAAAGGTCGACCCACAAAATTGTACATCCCGACTAACTCTACGGTGGTCGTAACCGGCGGTAAATTTACTAATACGGAACTAATCCAAGAAACCAGTGTGACTGGCCTCAAGCAGTTATCCCCTGGGCTCTGCGGTCACGCAACACTAACCCTCTTTCTGTTTCAGGTACCCAAAGAATCAATCAACTTCCTCAGTAACAACCGGACACATACTTCCAAGAGCACACGAAGCCTTCCTGAGCATCATATGGTGTCAAACATGAACTACAAAAGTGTTGCAGTTTATTTCCTTTTGTATTGAAGTAGAGGATGCATATAACAACTCAGTCCTAGAGAAATATCCACACAGTTAGTCTCTAGATTATGGGATAGAACTATATACTACTGATTAATTGAAATGAGTAGTTGTATTATACCATATATCTCATATCAATCAGTAGCGTTAACTAGCCAGATCGAGGTGATTTAAACATTGGACAGCTGTTTCGCTTATTCACGACCAAAGTCATCAACGGTGTACCCAGTTCGACTCAGCTGAAAGACAGCCGAATCAGCTCAATCAGTTCACACGCGATTCCTAGCTGGCTACTTAGGTGAATTGGTGTTACCATGAATCTAATTCACAATTTGCGAATTGCTAACTAATTTGTAAATTGTGAATTTCATTTAGATTATGGGATTTGTGAGAATTTGGATTAACTTCAGTTGTCGAATTTCGTCATAAACCGACGTCAGTTAGAGAGATCACTGAAAACCAGAGTGAACTAGACAGCTCTCGTCCCAGTCCAGGACTCTTTAACGTTGAGTACACACGACCACACCAGGGATCAAACCTAGGACTTTCAGATTACAAGATCACGCTCGTTGACCATCAAACCACTTGAGCTGGAAACTAACGGCTCTTATACCTGTGGTATAGTGCTACCCCTAAGCAAATGCCCTCGGTAAGCAACTACTTCACTTTGGGCATGGTGGAAACCCCTGATCGCGACTTCTTACTACTGTTGCTGGATGAATGTCCTGAAGCTGTGATTTCACCAACTGATGTTGACTCGTGACGAAAATGTAACAGTTGACATAATTAATCGTGTCTGTTAAAATTTCACCACTCAAAGACAACCTACTTAATGGCGAAGTGATTCGTACAAAGGCATTATAATTATTATTCCCTTGGGTTCCGAGTGGAACATAGGGCTTCAACAACACATCTCCACTTTTTTTCTATTTTCTGCTGTCCTCTTCATCTGAGTCCACGATTTTCCATCTCCTCCTCGCACGATCTCCTACATGTCACCCTAGGACGACCCACTCGTCGCTTTCCCATTGGAATTCCACTCAAACAATGGTCTGGTGCGCAATGTCATTTGACGGCCTCCTCAATGTATGTCCAATCCATCTCCATTTTTGACATAAGTATAAGACTTGGGCACTGTGGTAGAGTATAACTCCATAATGGTTAAGATTTTATTTTGATAAATCACACAGTGTTGTACAGTTATATTAACTGATGATGTTTCGAGCACAAACTATTGCTCATAATCATATCAAGTTACTCACACAACTTTGATATGATTATGAGCAATAGTTTGTACTCGAAACGTCATCAGTTAATATAACTGTACAACACTGTGTGATTCATCAAAATAAAATCGTAACCATTATGGAGCCATCTCCACTTTCTCCTGCATATTTGTTCAGCAATCGGTTTTTAATTGGTTTGTTCCCAGCCAGAGTTCCTTGTTGCTAATTCTTTCCACCGACCATCTGACGTTGAGTATGGAGCGAAGGCAGCTGTTGATAAAAGTCTTCAGCGGCCTTTGGTGACACGCAGTGCAAGTTTCTGACCTATATAGAAGAAGTGACTGACTGACTTCACATTTGTGTTTATTAGAATCCGAACCTTGTTCTTTATACTGGCTAAGTGAGTGCAGGAGATTTCCAAACTGGCCTCAGGTTGACTAGCTTTGACATCTTCATTTGTTCCCCCTGTGGTTGAAACCGTGTTTCCTAGATAAGTGAATGAAGTAACCTCTCTCCCATAGATGGTAATTGGTGCTGGTTGTTGTTACTGCTGTTCGTTGGTTATCTTCATCTCCTCTGTCTTCTCTATGTTCACCTTAAGTCCTATCTTCACTGCCAGCCTCTTCAGTCAGTTTGTTAGTTTTCTCCTGCAAGTCTTCGAGTTTGTGTGACATTAAACATAAGTCATCGGCGAAGTCCAGATCTCCTAGAGTCTTCTTATAGGTTCAACGTACTCCTCTTCTCTCACTCCCAACACACAGTCTGACGCATAATCCAGTCCACGTAAAAAGGGCATAGTGCATAATAAACACAATCGTTTGAACCACGTTTTTAAGAACTTAGACTAACTGACCAAATTATTACTAATCTTAATATTCAATAGCTACGAGAATGCTTTTATGCCTAGTTTGATAACATTACTTGTCTATTCAAACTTCAGCAAACGGAACCGGGTTTAAACCCATGACTAACTTGGTGAAAGTTGGATAACAGAAACAATCACTCACAGATACACTGGACTATTTTAAAGACTTGTAACAACCTCGATTCCAACTGCAGTATACTGATGCACAAGCAAGCAAAAATCTAGCAGGTGGTAAACTATAATGTACACTCCGTTATAGTTATGAATCACTTATACAAATCAAGAAGAGAACTTCAATAGGATCTGAGCTTATCAGCAGTGTTTGCCAACTGATTTAGCTAAAAAATTAAAACTGTTAAAACCAAAATAAACTTTACAAGGTCACTTAAATATGACCAACGACACGTATACACAATCTGCATGCATCGATTTCCATCCAAAACAAGAAGACGAAAGGCTCATGGGTATTCCTCACAATATTACACTGAAACCCTTTAACTTTTAGTATTGTTGGTTGTATTTGGCACGTCTTCTAGACACTGACCACACAGGTAGTGCATCTGTCAGAACATAGTTGAAAATATTGCTATATATCACTTTGTCGGAGATTTGACTCACTGGTCTACGACGCACTCGACTTTCATACAATTAGTCCGAGTTTCAAATCACGCTTCATCTGCTTCCGCCTGACCAACTGGGTATTATCTTCAGTCCTCGTTAACTGTAACTTACAGTCCGGGACATGAGGGCTCTATTCCAGGTAACTAAATAACATCAGTATGTATAATATAAAGCTGAAAGGAGGTTGAAGACTTCAAAACAAACCCACTGACTACTGATCTATTGGGGAAGTGATCATGAATTATTGTGATCTGAATGGTCTACGCGTCGTCTAGATGTTAGTACATGTTACCAAATGACTTCTTGAGTGACAAGGTCTAGAAACCTAGAAAAATATTAGGAGTATGATTCTATGCTCTGACTGATGCATTAAACAAATTGAACAACATGAAGATGATTTTGGTGGATAGTGACTAATAAGGGAATCCATGAAGCGCCAAACACTTCGGTCTAATCAATCAACGGGAAAGTCCAACAAGAGGCGGCTCTCGCGGCCCGAGTGGTCTAATGGACAAAGCTTTGGTGTTTGAAACCATGGGTACCAGGGTTCGAGCCTCTTCAGTGGGAACACCATTAATCACTGAGGAATGCAGGTACCTCCAGATGACGAGTCCCAAAATGGGACGAAATGCGCACCCTGGATTCCACTGCTAGTCACCATCCACCAAACCACTTCAGGTTAATTCTCAGACATCGTGGAAGCATTGGTACAAGCGGCCGACATGGTAACATCAAACAACGGGAAAAATCAAAATTGAATTAAAACTAAATAATAACATAAAGATGAGATTGAAAACATCAGTCACCAATCATAGGAAGTTAAAGTTTTGCCCTCCTAATAGTAGATTCTCATCATATAAAGATTCGACAATAAGAAGCAAATCGGTTGAATTAAGTGCTACCTTCATTTTTTTTCCATATAAATTTAACTAACTCAAATAAACTCCCAAAATAATTAACAACTTTAAAACAAACAAAAAAACTCTTACTTTCTGAACATTTACATCCCAAAGAAGATAAATAGAGCGTTGTTCGGCATAAATCACATTCCCTTTTTTCATCTTCTGAATTTTCAAATACCATTCGTTCTGTAAGCCTGACACCAATTCTAGCTAGATGACGTCTTAGACAACGTTCAGTGGTAAGTAAATCACCCAACTGTTTAGTAATAACAGTTAAGAATTCTATGCTAAGCGGTTCAACCGATTTAGCCATACGACATAATAATTCTGAATGTGAAAAAACTGGAGTTCTATGCAAGAGGGCATAGTGTTCAATACAATTTCGACCATATTCAAACTGAAATAAATGTAAATTATAGGTAAACAAATATTACTATGAAATTTAAAGAAAAAACAAACATTTAACTTAAATTATGCAGCAGGTCGGGTGTGAGGATAAATACTCGCCCAAGACATTGGCTAGCGGTCGTGCTATGTCGTCAATTGGCAGAAGTTGGAATTCATGGGCTGGCTGGCCATTGGATCGGGTCCCAGTGGCTTATCGGTCTACGAGGTAGCTCGCCTTTTAACCAAGAGATCTTGGATTCGAACCTCGGCAGGTGCGTGTTGCCGAAGAGTCCCAAACTAGGACGAAACATCTTTTCAGTATTTCGAGGTTTTACAATGGTTCTCTAACCGGTATCAGTCAATGATGAAATCCCGTAATCAATCAATCAAATCCCTACAAAGCAATACTTGAAAATCATAAAATTCACTTGTATTACGATATTACATGCTGTTTACCGTGATATTACATGCTTATAAAGAATCTATTATAGAGAGTAAATACACAGTTTTACGTTTAACGGCCTTGTGTTATATCTTCTCGTGTTATAATTCATTATGTTCTACAAACTTTCCGTTTTTGCAGTTTTACTTTTTTCAACATTATGTATTTATGTATTTAAACTGCTGCAATTTGTTTAAGAACGCTGAGAATTCCAAACTGTATGATTATTATGGTTTGGAATAAAGTGATTATTATTGTTATTGACTATTTGCTATTTCATGCATTTATTCCCCTTGATGAATTTGAATAAAGCAAGCTTACAGCCTAAATAAATTTTGATGTTTACGTACAGAAAAGTTTTAACATACTTGCAAATTTCACATGTTGTCAGTTGACAGAAAGTACCACAATTAGTGAACAGTGCTCAGAAAATTGCGCTTATTTAGCTTTCACACAGGCGGTTCAAGTTTAAACAAAAATAAATGTATGCATACAATGGTAAAGGAGTTACGTAATAAAGACAAGAGGTGAGTAAGATGATGAGTACATCGTTACCTAATTTATTAGTTACTTTTCTGTACGTAAACATCATAATTTATTTAGGCTGTAAGCTTGCTGTATTCAAATTCATCAAGGGGAATAAATGCATGAAATAGCATATAGCCAATAATAATAATAATAATCACTTTATTCCAAACCATAGTAATCATACAGTTTGGAATTCTCAGCGTTCTTAAACAAATTACAGCAATTTAGCTCCTTTCGTAAATACATAAATACATAATGTTGAAAAAAAAATAATAAAACTACAAAAACTGAAAGTTTGTAGAACATAATGAATTATAACACGAGGAGATATAACACAAGGCCGTTAAACGTAAAACTGTGTATTTACTCTCTATAACAGATTCTTTATAGGCATGTAATATCACGGTAAACAGCATGTACTATCGTAATACAAGTGAATTTTATAATTTTCAAGTATTACTTTGTAGGGATTTGATTGATTGATTACAGGATTTCATCATTGACTGATATCGGTTAGAGAACCATTGTAAAACTTCGAAATACTGAAAAGATGTTTCGTCCTAGCTTGCGACTCTCCGGTAACACGCACCCACCGAAAATTACATGGCCGATGGAAAGAATTAGCAACGAGGAACTCTGTGAATGAACCAACCAAGAACCTACTGGTCAAAAAATATGCAGAAGAAGATGGAGATGGATCGGACACACACTAAGGAGACAGCATCGGGCGACAAAGCACACCATGCCATCAGTCGAATGGAACCCGAATGGGGAACGGTGAGTTGGGTGCCCGAGTGTGAAGTGGAGGAGATCGAGTGAGGAGAAAGTGAAAGTTTATGGGCAATCGTGGATCCAGCTGAAGAGGAATGCAGAGGACAGGACAAAATGAAGACACGCATGTTGAGGCAGTATGTTCCACTCCAAATCCAAAGGAATAATAATAATAATTTTCTATTTCGTGAATAGTTTTTCTCTATGTTACTTTAATTGCATATTTTAATTATGAGACAAATTATCTCATCAGAAGAAATACACAAACATGCTCTCATCCAGTTTTCCACTTTGATATCTATTTACCTTAGGCTTGATTACAATAACAAAAGTTCAGTCTAGTTTTGTTGATCAATAATCAACTTTGCATTTTCGTTCATCAAATGTGCATCAGATAGAATCGTAAAACACCCTAATAACAAACACTTCGATACAGTTACAACTTGATGATATAAAAGACAAAAATCCGGTCAGATTTCAGACTCACACGTAGAGTTTGTAGGTCATTGGTTTAGGCGGTGGAATTTAAAATCAATTAGTGGGTTTGAAGCACATGCCGTTAAGTAAAATTTGGTAACTAAGCCATCAGACTAGATATAGCCAACTCCATTGTGCATGGAGGTGAATGTGAAGAGCGATTAACAATACCAGGTACGTCCGGAACTGATGTCGTTACAACTTAATTAATGGAGTAAGAGGTGCATAGCATGTTATTATTATTGTTTCCTTTAATTCCTACAGGAACATAGGGCTTCAGCCGTGCGTCTCCATTGCGTTCGGTTCTCTGCTAGAGTTTTCACCTGGCTCCAAGTCTGCCCACACGCTTTCATCTCCTCTTCACATGACCTCCTCTAAGTCACGCCTGGACGACCAACTCGCCACTTCCCTTTCGGGTTCCACTCGAGGGCTTGCCTGGTGATGTCACTCGACGGTTTCCTCAGAGTATGGCCAATCTATCTCCATTTCTTCCTGACTATTTGTTTCACAATTGGTTCCTGGTTGGTTCGCTCCCAGAGATCCCTGTTAATGATCGTTTCTGGCCATTTCATCTTGAGTATTGAGTGAAGACAGCTGTTAATGAAGGTCTGTAGTTTGTTTGAGATGCTCTTTATGACGCGCAGTGCAAGTCTCTGATCCGTATAGTGAGTAGCACTGACTTCACATTGGAGTTGAAAATCCGGATCTTATTTTTGATGCTGAGTGCTGTTGACCTCCACACAGACTTGAGAGTAGTGAAAGCTTGTCTCGCTTTTCCGATTCTTGCTTTGATATCCCCGTCAGTTCCGCCTGTAGTTGAAACGATGCTTTCCAGGTAGGTAAAGGAGGATGTTCTTTTCAGGTTCCTTCCATTTATGCTGATTGTTGTCTGTTGTTGTTGTTGTTGCTGTTGGTGGTGTTGCCCAGTAATCTTCATCACCACATCTGTTTTCTCTATGTTCACCTGAATTCCTTCCTATCTTTGATGCTTCTTCTGCCAACTTGTTGCTTTTCGCTTGCATATATACAACGGAAATTATCCTAAGTTTATTAAATTGCCACTTCAGTAGTTTAACTGGTTCAAAATATCATGATATTGTTAAACAGTTTCATTCAATACATTGATAGCTCAACCTTACAGTACACTGCAAACCAATTTCGTTGGATTGCATTTTAAATCAGAATAAATCTAACCATTAAATAGATTTGAAAGATAGGTACACTATCACTCATTGCTCAACAGCTTTTAGTTTAGTTTAACAGGCGGCTTCCAAATCCTAATGATACAACAAACTATATTGGCCGGAATAATTGCTTCTAGAGTTTCTAAAATATCCACAAAGTTGATAGAATGACAGTAAGATCAAAAATAGTTACCGTCAGTGAACTTTGCTTACACAGTGGGTGGTGGTCTGTGAGCTAGTTCCTACCCCTCATTGAAGGAAATGTGTTTCGCGCGAACTACCGACAAGCCAACCAACTTACTACCGTCTTACTCCGGGAATAGAAAATTAGAGAAAGCCAACTAGAACAATATATTCCACGACTCACCCGAGGACGGCTTTTAACTGGTGATGTTGTTTTCCCTACAGATAAAACTCCAAAAATTCCAACGTCTTTAAAGAGTATCAAAGAGACATCCCCCTAGGCCCCATAGCAACACAAAACCAATCCTTCTGCTCTTTCAGATTTTCAACTCATCTAGAATCTTGGCTTAAGGTGCAGCTTGCGACCTTATGATGATGGTCAAATCTACATACCATAATGTAGAGTATTTTGGATAACAACTAGAGGGACACTACACACATGTAGAATACTGAGACCAACAGGGGATAAACTACTGCGAAAAGGTGAAGCCACATCTTTACATACATCGTAGTTCAATACACGTAAGGAGTTTTTACATCTCAAGATCGAAAAGAACATGAGTACATTTCCACAGACGTAAAGTTTTGGTTCCACATACGCATTGCCAGCAGCATTTAAACGTTATTTCAATATCCACGAATCTTTTCAAAGTTGTCTTTGAATTTCCATTTTTTTCTTTTCTGCTGATACTTTTAGTTTTATTCTGTGTTCAAATCAAAGAGGCGCACACAAGACCAAGATTCGCATTTATTTGATCCCGCCTTCTCAATGAATTAGATAGTAGTTCACATCGTATAGTGCAGCGTTATGTGCTCAGGAGGAGTATTATTCTCTTAGTTTCTGAGTGGAAACTATGACTTCAACAGCATATCTCCGTTTCATCCTGCACTCCACAGTCCCCTTTAGCTGGCTCCATGATTGTCCATAAGCTCTCATCTCATTCTCACACGATGTCATCCTCCATATGGAGTGCTAGGTAAGGAGGAGAAATCAACAGACGAGGCTGAAGTTACCTCGATTGAGATGGTTAAGGCATGTGTTACGCAGCCTCCAAAGCCTCAGGATGGTCGGGGGTGGGTGCCTTGCGCTACGGGTTGGCCACCCCTCCTCACACCTCTTGAAAGGCTCCCATATGACCGGGAGTCTTACATAGCCTCTCCTGAGGAAGTCCTACTCACTGCTTTCACGTGGCGGAGGTGTTTTTCACCAAAGTGAGAGGGCGAAAGCGGATGCCCGACGCTCTTCACCGGGTCAACCCGACTGTCCATTGGATGACAGTCTAGGGGAGATGGCTAAACCCTGATTCCAAACCTCCAACGACTGGCGTATGAAGCTCACTGGAGCTCACCGGCAGACGTATGGACAAAGGGCTTGTTGGATGTCCTGGATGTCTGGCCCCATTCAAAATGGCGTATGAACCGAACTCCGGTCACCGGCTGCCAATGGATAGTGGACTCCCTACTCCACTCCTACTGCCTTGTAGGTCACACTTGGTTGTGTAAAGGCTAGAGCTGCACTCTCAAACAAAAGGCCGAGCGATTCTGGGGACATCACTCGTACCAAATTCCCATGAAACTTCATGAACTCGTCGTCGTCGTTGCTACAAAATCAACCAAATTCCAGTACTGGTCCAACAACGTCGCCTTTGGTGGTTTGGCCATGTTCTGCGCCGATCAGATGACGATCTGGTCAAATCAGTTCTAAATCCCTCGCCATTACCATCTTGGCGATGTCACAGGGGTGGACAGCTGAAAACATGGCTTGGTACAGTCAAGGCTGATATGGAGTGCCTGGGGCTAGAAACCGTCTACGGACTCCGTCTGTGGAACAAGAATTGGATAACCCTGTCGCAAAACCTTGCATCAGATCGCCGCGCCTGGGCAGCGATGATTCGAGATGTTCATGAAGCCGGCTCATCCTCCCGTAGGAGATAGCCGAAGTAAAGTAAGTATGTGTTCCGCATGCCTGCCTAGCCATCCATCGCCTTCCTCAACAGGCAGTGTTAGCCGCCGACATAGGATGCATCAGGTTGGAAAAGAGCCAGTGGTGGTCAAATCAAAACATGGCTTCATCAGCCAGTGAAATCCACAACAGTCAGTTTAGGCTAGTCACTTAGGTAGGTGTAGACTGGTTGACTGTCCCATTGGGGTCCTCAAGTTGGTAAAAACCAATGACGGCTGAAGATATAGCTCAAAGTCGTTCTCAATGGCGCAGATGCATCCACTCCTTTCAGCTTATAATATCCAATAAAATTCTATTGTTCTTCCATATTACTATTCTTTTTGCCTAATATCTATGTTTATTATCTCTATTTTGAATCTCGTGTAAAACGAGATGTGTTCTCTTGCTTTGTGTGCTACATGGAGGGAGTGTGGCATCTGGAACTGCTGAACATGTGTGCAAAGTTCTATGTAGAAACCAGTCCGTCAATCATTCAGCACGCCCAAGTCGCCGTTTTCCCACTCAAGTCCCACTCGAGGGCCTGGAGTGCTATGTCACTCAACGGTCTCTTCAGTGTGTGTCCGATCCACTTCCATTTTAGTCGGCCTATTTGTTAAACAATTTTTTTCTTGTTTGGTTCGTTCTCAGAGTTTCTTATTGCCTATACTTGCTGATCATCTGATCTTCAGTATCAAACAAAGGCAGCTGTTGATAAAAGTCTGAAGACTGTTCGAAATGCTTTTGGTGATGTACGCGTCAAGTCCCTGAACCATATAGAAACACTGACTTGATATTAGTGTTGAAAATCTGAATGTTGTCCTTTATGCTGATTATAACAGAATTCCACGCTGATTTCAGAGTAATGTATGTTTCTCATGCTTTTACAACCCTGACTTTGACATCCTCATCCGTGCCGCCTGTAGTTGAAACGATGATAACGAAATAAGTTCAGGAGTAAGTATGCACTTTCTCATAAGCCACTAGATTAGATTTTATAGTATATAAGCTTAAAACATCGCGATATAAGTCGGTGACATTTTTCATTTTCTGCTTAAACACTCGCGAAAGTTAATTTTCAGTTCCCTCAAGTTCATTTGTTAACAACACTAAAAATATTCAACATTCTCGTATTCTCAAACTTATCTCTACAACCACTGTGATGTAGCAAACAAAACATTTTAAAATGCCTTCTAAAAAAGAAGCACAAACGTAAACCCAACAAAATTAGTGAGAGAAAGAGCTTTAATATACTTACCCAATCAGGAGGGCAAAAATTAACTGCCTCAGCAAAATTGAACCCTTGATTAAAACCGGCATGGAACGCACGTGGAAATGTCACCACAAATTCACCAACCATTTGGTCAAGGCGATAAACAGGGACACCATGTGCCTGAAGCCTGTGTGGTGAAACCATTGTAGTCATATGATGTAGTAAGTCTGGAGAATTGACAAATAATTCAGGAACTTCAGATCGCATAGCCAATTCGAAGGCATCGGCAGAGTTCGTCGGCACTCCATACCAAGTTTTTGGTTCACCCCTGAAATATTCCAAATCAATAAAACATATAGATTGTCTGCATCAAATTAACCATATTTACACTCGTCGGACGTATATTACTAGGTGCAATGACATTTAACACCATTAGTCATCTACTATGTAGTGAAATTCTAGCAGATATAAGGAAAAATATGACGAAACAGGCACCTAAAGATACTTGGATACGGGATAGTGAATCGGTAGAGTTGACATTATACTTAGTAAACTTGCTATCTGTTCAGAAATACTAAGTATTATTATATTGTCTGGTTACCCGTTATCACTGTATGCTGCATATCAAATATATATGTACATGATCCCAGTGGGATAGTTATAATCAATCCTCTAACTATCCCTAGGATCCCGCTACATTGGTGTTCAGCTTAGTTGGTATCTCAAGGATTTCTATAGTCGAAAGTAGAATACTTGAATCTATATTCATAGGAAGTTTCTTATGTGCAATCAGACTAGAAGATTAAGTTGGAGTAGGGAATGATTAGAAAGAGAACTGTTGTTTTTCTTTATCAACACATCCACCAATTTCAGCTCAGATAAAACGAAGAATGAGCTCTACCACAATTTAAATAGTAGTGGCTAGGGACTTGAATGCAGACGTCAACCTTTTGGACTTAAAGAAGTCTCTTAGATGCTCAACAGGGTCTAGATAATCGTTTATTTAATAACGGAAACCATCTTCGGTAACTACGAGTAGATTACAGCCCATTTCTAGCCAATACCATCTTCAGGCATGGTCACTATCAATTATCTCAAAATCGATTTACAATCATTCAGTTAGTGATGTGCATCGAAATACAAAGTACTTTGCCATACTGATAGTAATTCAACCGTGCGTTCATTTCTGTTTATGAACTGTTAGATAAGTTAAAAAACTAGGTTTCTTTTGGACTGTTTTAGATGCTGATGGAGGTGTAACAGACAAAAAATTATTTAAATTGTATCAAAAGTCTGAAAGATGTGTGTCTATTTGAACCGCTTTTGGAGTCGTTATGTTTCATCAGTCCAGTTCTACTTTGCAGCAATGTAGTCTGTCTTAGGTCTAATATCGATGCACATCTCATTCCTGTTTACAGAGATATTTTAATAGCGCTATGAGATTCTCGTTATTAGACTGAAGTCATGTTCATCAACCATCAAGAACCGTGAACCTGGACGGGAGGAGATAAGGTGCTGAACCTTCGATATAGCCCCCTTACCCTCCGTTTCAGTGGCGTTTTGGTGATGTACAGGCAATCTCTACCCCCGTATCTCTCTTCTTATACTTAATGAACTTCTCGTACGTCGCCCCCAAAGAGTAGCCTCATTTTACCGTGTTGAAGTGTAGGAAACGGTGTATCATACAAGTGTGGTTAGCTGATGGTTGTTTTACGATTGCGTATTACGGCCTTATCAAGCCTCATACTGGAAGTAATATATACAGTTCTCAAAAGAAAAGTTTATTCAGTGATCAGGGATTTTACCTAAAACAACACTCGTTCACGCTTTAACGTTTTAGAAGAGTTGGACTTCACAGTACAAAGGACTCTTTCATGCCCTTGATATATGACCGGTCGGCCAGTTGGGTATCCACAAAAAACACGTCTGATCCGTTATTTAATAATGTGTATTTATCAGCAAATGACTTTGGTCCTTTCACTCTTACTGGTGACACACCCAACTAGACCTTCTGAACGTCATAAGGCTTGAAAGCACCATTACAGTTAACAGAATTCGAAAAATTATTTTGCATCATCAATAGCGAGTGTAATACAGATAAATCACTGCTTCCACTCTCCACTCTTTCATAGCCCGATTTTGTATGTTATTCTTTCCAACAGCTAAAACATAATCGCTTCCGTCTCACAACTTGTAGACTTTCCGACAGAGACACTACGAGGAAACTAGCATATTCACCAAGTCAAAATGCACTGCAACAGATCACACACTTTCCTGAGCATTTACTGTCTTGAGAAACATTCATCACAAGTGATCACCGACCTGTGAATTTCAGGAGATGAAATATACTGGCAAACTTATTGTCTAGATAACCGTATCTTCCACCAGTCTCAAGAGATTACCGGACCCTGGCTCTGAGCCCACTTCCTTTGTAGTCGAGTGAAGAGAATACCTTTTTGTCTGTGAAATTAACGGCAAAAGCTGAAATAAAATATCCGGATGTACGATCTAAACTGGGTTTGTATTCCACAAAGTTAAGAATTAAGGAAGACATAATAATATACATACAAAATATACAATAATATATATAACTTTCAATTTGCATATCAAAAATAGCAATAATAACGCTTACATGTGTAAGTAGTTTATGGAATAACTCCAGTGGTCTTCTGTATGCCAGCAAAAACAAGAAAACGCCATGCCAACATAGCACCACGGTATCTAAAAGGTGAAATGACCATTAAATAAAGTGTAAGGTGGAATAATTTACAAAACAAATTTTACTAACAAGACACCTAGATGTTTCGATGCCATATTCCTTTAACTACTGCAACTATGCACCTATTACATAAATATCTCTACTTAAGACAGTGACACCTATGGTGGTAAAAGCAAATAGTTCAGTCCAATTCAATCAATAAAACACTTTATCCGCCTCAAGATTATTATAATCGGTGATATAACACATTGGTGGTGATCACTTGTAACGAAAAAGCTTCTGAAGGTAGTCTGGATTATCAGTTAGCTCAATATAATATAAATGATGTTTATTCTTATCATAAGGAACGAATTTTCACAAATATTCGGTCAGGAGGTCGAATGTGATGGAAGGTAACTCTAAACTAAGTGTTTTAACTGGGGACTTAACTCACAAGGAAGAAATAAGAAAGGTACAACGGAACCATGGGGTGATGACCGTGGCGTCACATCTTTAAGATGCAACTGCATATATAACACTAAGGATTCATTATTCACTTACCGACTACTGCATTTTTCTTCATTGGATATTTCCTTTCCGTTAAACAGTGATTATTCAAGTCATTTCTTTGTATACAGATTACAGTTTAGCCCCTGTAAGAATGAACGACCAGTTGCTGTTCAAATACTTAATATCCGACCGAATATATGAAAGATGATTGTTGAGAATGTTGACCAATTGTTTCAGTCTGCCAACTACGGATCTACATTACTGCATAGTGGTACAAATTGCCAAACTCCGCATCTCCACTTCAAGTAAAAGTAGTAGTAGTGGTGAAACGGGGCACCTCTTTACAACTTATAAATATGTCAACTAGAAGCTGCATGTAGCTTTGTGTTAAGACTAATGAAATTAATGGGTAGGCTAAATATCGATCAGGGGGATAGTAGTCACTTCCATGATAAAATGGATGATAGTTGAATATTTAACTCAATTCGCCACAGTTCTATTATACAATCTGACTATAAGATGCATAATTAGTAGTTAAGACAATGTACTAATGACAACTAAAACATTTCTAAATAGAAAGAAGCATATGAACACATGTTGATAATGAGTCCTTAAATCTAGTACAAAATATATACTCATTTGAATGGTAACAATGAATGATTTGGATTAAGGATATACACAGGTAAGAAACATGATTTACACGCTTATGATAACAAGAGAGAGAGAGTAATTCCACACAGCTTTTAGTAATAGTATGGATGCAATAAATAAGCTATGTTATGTACATAAAGGGACCTTTGAGTCAAACAGTCGATCACAGACTTAATTATGAAACTTTCACAATGTGTATTGTGACAAAAACTAGAATGATTGACTGCAAAAAGAAAAGAAAAAACCAGCACGCTGAAGAACAACAAAACTTACACGTAAATAAAACTCCCTTTCAGTTATGACAAACAGGTTTTTAAGTAACACTCTACAAGTAATTACATCGTTGAATACCCAAAATATCTACGTCAAATGCTGATTCCGATGAGTGGAATTTCATCATTCCAGAATATTTACGGAAATTAGAGAACCCATTGGCACAAAAACAATGAGATCCTTTCAAATGTTGTGAATAGGATTATCATTGTTGTAGGAAAAAAGCATGACCATGTTCTGATCAGGATGTTTTGTATCATAAATCAACAGAGATGAAATGTTTTGCTCAGAAGTATCACACAATATCCCTAGATGTTTACAAATAGGAATATTTCTTAGTAAGCCTCAATGTCTTCGATTCAGTATATAAGCACAGCATTTAAAAGATGACAACTTATAACATCAATAAACGGATATGTTGAAGTGACAAAAGTCAGGCCTAGCAGCAGTTTTCGAATTCGATTACTTAATTGGATATACTTGTTTACACCAACATCAACTTCAGTTCGAATAACTGTGTAACATAGGCTTGGTAGCTTACGAAGTGAATACGACGACATTGTGGGGGATGTATATAACATTCCCATTTATATGATGACCATGGTGAAAACGGATATCTCAAACAATGATTGCACAGAATTCCAAACACCGAAATCAACAGCCTAGAAAACCGAATAAGTGAGCACCTTTCTGGAATGCCAAAAACTATACCAAGACAATGATGGAAACTTCATGAACGTAGAACTGCCACGATTTTAAATATACTAATGGTGACAAAACTACTTAGTATGAAGAAACATATGAGACAAGAAGTGGGGTTGAGTTCAGTAAGTGTAACTGAATAAAGTCGATGGACCTAGAAATTTCACACATTGTAATTATCTCAAAAAGGAATTCGGGCAGCCTGTCATTTTTCATTGGCCTAATTAGGTCTGAAAGTCTCTACCTCATCCATAACATGTTTATAAAATACCAAAATCAGGGTACGTAGAGTCTAGTCAAGCAACATGTTGTCAACTTAAAAAACCTGAACAACCAGAGCATATATTCTGAATTATGGGAAGATGAAAGACCTTAGATTCAGACTGATGCTGTTACTATTTGTCCTACAACCTAGAGAAATACTACCTTACTACAGATATTTCTAAGGATCATAGTTATAATGTTTCGATCATTTCGTGTCAACATAGACAGAAACGTTGTCACACCTCCATTAGTACAGCTTTAATGGTCACCTACTTATTCACTAGGGTTGACTGACTATTTGCTGAGTGATTATTATTTCGTAGTTTTGGGAATTATAGGGATAGATAAAATTGAAACCGACTCCAGTAGTTAATACTGTGATCAAGTACGAACTACTATATGAATGATAGTATACAGTAAGTGGCTAAACAGTAAGAACTAAATGTGAAAACATAGAACTTACAATCATTCCTGAAATATCCCTTGGTAAGAATCTCAGAGCTGAACCATCTAACAAAGGAGTGTTGTTCAGGTTCCACGGTGAATTAACGTAATGTTTTAATTTCTGACTGACTCTTCCTGATCGTAAAGTCGGGAAACCAGATCCATGTTCATGAGCATTCAGATCAGCACCGTACTCTACGCTTACCTCAGTATCTTCAGAATTAACCAAACGCCAGAATTCAGTCTCAGCCTCTTCAAGTGAAACCATCTAAAAGTCTCATTTAAGATGATTAGAAAAATTACATGTGTAGGTTTCCCAAAATGCTTCGCCTTAAAATCATCAGCCCGAATGCCGAAAGTATGAAGAGTGTACTTCACATTTGAGCTTTTGAAACCAAATGCGTCGAACTTATTTAACTGTTTATATCTTCTTATCACACAGTCACGACAGTACCAATTCCCCTTTGGTACATCAGATAAAGGTGGGTCAAGGCAGTATGTATGGCAGGCTCCAAATGTATCACACCCATCGCACAAGAGGAGATACTCATCATTATTACCGAGTTTGCATACAGAACACACCATTTTTCCAACCTATAAAGATCGGATCATGAAAACGTCTACGTACCGATGGCTTCTTCTTGTTCAACTGATTCGAGCGGGTAGATTTAACACCTTGGTCATTCATTGCCTATATATTAGAATGGTAAGAAAATCAAACATACAGGTTCACTGGCAAGAAACATGTCGTATGGCAAAAGATATTTCTTGTAGTGTGAAGATAGGACAGAAGCGAAAGATGGAGTTGTCGGCAAGTTGATTTGTTCACAAATTTTACACCATAACTTTTTCTCACACACAGTTGAATAACCACCGGAACATTTCACTTGCTTCCAAAGTCGGTAGACGTCTACGCTTTTCCCCTTGATTTGGGGTACGAATAGTTTTACATCCTATAAATAAGTCTTCAAAAATACTCAATTATACCTGTGCTTCCCAAAAATGTACAAGGGATGTGATAAAATGATATCTCACACGGTTGTATGCACAAACATCAGATAATTCCTGAACTCGTGGTACGAAGGTAAAATTTTCCTGATCAACTGAGAATGGTGGTTTCCATCCCTAATAAAATTATTACGTTACATAAGAAATAAAGGTCTTACATTTGGTGGGCGTATTTTACAAATGCCATAATTAAATGCGATTGGGGAAATACGGTGTACATAACTGATAGGATCAGTGAATTCTTCAAGTGTTGGGTTGAAGACTGGAGCTGGAGGAGGGCGAACGAAGTTTGAAGTCATTAGGAAATAAAATATGAAATATCGGAACTCATAAACCCATTTCTACAACACTTCGAACAGCCGCTTCAAATCAGACGTTCCAATGACCTTCAAATCTCTACTGAAAATCAAAAGCCAAACTAATAAGTGCTAAAGATTTTCCCACCCACCCCTGAGCTTAGTTAGAAGGTGATATCGAAACATTTACCCTGTATGTTCCTTAGAGATGAGTGAAATGGTTGGTGGGTTGATTTGTTTGTGGTTTCATTCATCAATAAAAGCTGCAGCTGAAGTAATTCAGACTGATGTTCAGACTGCAATTAGCCGAGGGATCCTTCGGCATAGTTGTTTACCTCTGTCACCAAATTTTTATAACTGAAAAGAAAAGGATAAACTCACTGCTACTTAGTTATGTCTGGGCCTGTTAATTACTATAACGGTAGTGAACTCGACTGGTACGCTAATACGTCTATTTGTCCGTTATACCTTCCGATTCACTGAGCCACGCAAATATCAAAAGCCAAATGCTAGCCTGTGACTGTAAGATGCTGTAGCATACTATACTATGTAGTTAAAGAAACAGCACACGATATTTATACATTTTCTTAATCATAATAAAGTCGGCTCATTACAGTGTGAATGTATTGTTCTTATAGGTTGAAAATATCTATCCTGATTGGTTAGTGATCAGACAGAGATCAAGGTGAGACAAAAGAAGATGAATTGGTCACACGTTAAATCACAAAATACTTGAGAAATGATACATTCACATAGTAACTCTATCACATGATAAATCTCACAATTCGTGAGAATTGATGATAAACTATTTTTATGCTTGGTCCAATCATATAGGAAGAGACACCATTCTGCGTTACGTTTCCACGAGTACTCCTCGCCCTATCACGTCTAAAAGTTATCGCCATAACTTCTTCAATATGTTGCATGGCTTATCCCACCCAGGTATTCAGATTACCGTCAAGCTCATAACTAGTCGGTTTTGTTGGCCTGGTATTAAGAAGGAAGTAGGAAAATGGGCTCATATTTTTTTTATTTTTTTTATTTTGATTACAGCTTGATGTCACACCGTATTTTCAGTACAAGTATGGAATTTTCAGCATGGATATCTGTAGCCCAAATTTACAGGCCGACCATAGATATCGGGTGTGCGTCGGCAGGGAATCGAACCCCGCACCATGTGCATGGTCGGCGAGAGTCCTAACCACTGTGCCAACGATGCACATATGCCTAGCTTGCCAGAATTGCAAGGTAGTAAGACACATCAGAAGCCCTATTGGCACCCTTATTATCTCCGATGCTCGTTTCGAACACGTTCACAAAGATCCGGTTGGATCCCCTACCTATATCTCAACCTGCATTGACCGTTTTACACAGTGACCTGCAGCAGCACTCCTCAGCGATGTATCTGCAGAAACAATCTCACCCATTTCTGTCGAACGACGGATCGCAAAATTTGGATGCCCATCCTCCATAACGACTGATTGGGTTGGCCTATTCTAAGCCTTAACTAAAATCTCAGCTTGTATGCGTTCTAGAACAACAGCCTACCATCCTCAAGCAAGTGGCATGGTAAAACGTCTACCTCGACATTTGAAGGCTGGATTATCAGCTGCAAACAATGCACATTAGACTGAATCACTACCATTAGTTCTCTTGCGCATACGAAATGCCTTGAAAACTGATGCTGGTTTTACTGCTGCTGAGCTAGCATATAGAGCAGTACTACGACTGCCTGGTGAGTTTGTTTCTCCTTCTAGCTTCCCACCAGCTGTAGACCATGCCATGCGCGTCAGCAGGCCCACAAACGCAATGCGTTTAGTTAAACCTGCTGCTCTTCGACCACAATCCATAGACGTCTCTGTTCACCTGTTTCTGCAAACTTCTTAACATGTATGTGTTCGTTGTGACTCTGTACGTCGCCCTCTGCAGTCCCCATACAATGGACTATATGAAGTCACCAAACGTACGGATAAATTTTTCGTCCTAGACAAAAGAGGCCGTGAAGACTCTGTTGGCATCGTCCGTCTGAAACCGGCCTACTTAGAAGGCAATCCCATGAGTCTCGAACTAAGCATTCCCGATTGTGAACAAGTAACTGAATATCCGTTAGTCGTTGAAGAAATCACTAGCATGGCGGAGGCAACCGAACTATCTATCGAGCCCTCGAAGAAAAGGCGTTCTGGATGAACCGTGAGATTCGTAGAAAATCTTCACACTTTTCTCAGATAACAGGATGATGCAACCCACCCAATCTATCGTGCTTGTGATATATTTTTTCTCAATTTTTTCATTGCATCCTGCGACATAATTATAAAACGTTTTACGACCGTATAAGTTACATCCACTAAAAAATTATATTTTTCCTGGATACTCTATTTTTCGCATTTTTTCTCTTTATGATAGATGTATACCATTATTCAAGTTCTATTTTTGGTGAATTTTCTTCGGCAGGGTTCTCAGCATTCTTGTTTTCTTTTCCAGGTGCGATGGGCACTGGACAAGAAGCAAATGTAGTGCGAGATCCAAAGGACAAACATAAACGAAGCGATATGCAGACACCCAATTACCATAGGTAGACTACCAGTAAGCAATCCATCAAGTTAATCGGGCTTTTACCTCCGGCTGGCTTCGCCATAAGATCCTCACAACGCCACTAGGGGAGAATGAGCTTTGGTGGTAAATAATTCTCCAGAATTATCAGCCACATCATTCATCGCACGACATAGGATGCTGGCACTCACTGTTTAAATCGACCTCTTCAGCTGAAGGCTTGCGGTCAAGCCTCTACACCATTTGTCACGCCGTCGTGTTACGTTCGTTCGTTGGTGCACGATCCCTAGCCAGTTAAACAATCATCCTTGCACTCCGATTTGGTCCCGAAACATACTTCATAATATGTACGATCAGTTCTAGTTTTTTAGTTTGTCTTTGGTCTACGCGGAACAAATACCATAGAAGTTGTGGGCAGATCTTGTGTCGGTATACTTTGTCATTCTTAAGTGTTACTGATAGTTGACAGAAAGTAAATCTTAGCAATTCCATATATGGACTGGCTGTGCAACCTATGTGCCACATATTTTGGGCGAATAATACTTCAGGCTGATCTGCCATCTTATCTCCTTATTGCTGACAACCGAAGTCGACAAAGTAACCAGATATTAATCGCGAAATCTAAAGCCATCTAGACATCATCTTTAGGTGATGCCAAGACTGTACCTAGTTATACATAGTGTGACATTACCAGATGTTAATTGTTAGATTTCTCTCACTTCATTTGCTAATCGTACAAGATGGTCACGTCCTGCTCCGTAGTCCCCACACAGGTTTTTCAACAATTAAGAACTTTGTGGCAGCTGGTAAATTGGATGCAAGCGCAATACGGCGTTCCCAGCTCCCGCTCCAGCACGACTTCCGACCAAACTTAGATAGTGTTAATTGTTTGGAGAGGACCATATTTTTTCAAGATGTGGCCTGAACTGAAGTATTATCTTTAAAAACTGCTCCAAAGGCCACATCATCAGATATAGAAAAGTTACTTACAAGGCCAGAAGGTGCTTTCACTGGGCGAAACTCACGATTGCGGCTGTCAAAGTAGTTGAAGAACGAACGGTCAATTCATGGTTGTTTGCTCAAAACCAACTCCATATTTTGGCGGGAGTCATCGATACCCCAGTCATCGTTCTACCGTTCGCTGTTTGTTAGAAGACAGAGAAAAACTATCAGAAGTGTTATTGTGATTAATTGTTACAACATTTATCCTTAGACTTTGTGTACAACAACCTTGTGGTTGGTTCTGTATTGGTGCAAGAATATAGGATTCTTGAATCACCAGTCTGTGTTCCGTTTTTTCGCGTTGGTTATTGACAATAGTTTCTGAAAGTCTTCTAGGGACAGCATTGAGTCCAGTGTAGTTGGACCTGGACATTGACAGTTTCTAATAGTTTTTGGAAGTATTTGCTGTATTTGGTGGCAATTCGACTTTCCTCGTGTCTGCAGGTTTTTTGGACGAGTGTTATTTGGAACTTTTCTGAATCGTTTGGTAACGTTCAATAATGCCTGAGCCAAAGAAAGGACGAAGCGTTTTGGAGGCAGACGACAAAGTAAATCTTGATGATTTGTCTAATGTGTGTAATGTTATGTCTGATGTTATGTTGGATAATCATGATATACCAGCCAGAGAGATAAGTTGCTTAAAGCCACCGAAGTTCGAGTCTAGGTGCTTTGAAAGGAATCATGCTGACTTTCCTCACTTTGCGAAAGAAGTCAAAGTCATGCTAGAGGGTCTGAAACTAAGTGATGAAATGAAACTAATGTACTTGTTGAGGTATTGTGCTGGAAGTGCGGCGAGTGCAATACAGTGCTGCAATTTTCTGCTACCTAGGGAGGGATACACGGAGGCTATGCGTATTCTGTGTCAAAGGTTTGGAAGACCTTCGATGATTGTGAGGAATGTATTCGAGGCTGTAAAGGTAATGGTACTGAGTTACAAGATGACTGTAAGGTACTCACTGAGTTTCTAGATAATCTGATGACCTACAAGAATAAGTTGGTTTCGATGAATTTTATGGGCGATCTGAACTCGAGTTCTGTCCTAGGGGTAATAGCGGGACGCCTGCCTACTCGACTGCAGGGGAAATGGGCGAAGATAAGCTCTCGTATAGGGGATGAAGGTTTAGAGCCAAGGTTCGACGATATACTGAGATTAGTGACAGATAATGATAATCAGACTATGAGTAAATTCGCCAGTATATTGCATCCAACCTCTGAAACTGAGAGGTCAGAGACTTAGGCAAAGCCATTTGTGACGAGAGGTTCTCAAAGCATTGGACGTTCAGTGAAGTGTGTTATCTGTGGCGACGTACACACACTTAGTGAGTGTGCTCGTTTCCCCCAAATGTCTCTAACAGAAAGGCTACAAATTGTGAAAGGGAAACGGTTATGCTTTTGTTGTCTAAAGGACGGACGCACAAGGCTTAACTGTAAGACAGCTGAGAATGGTGGTAGTGATTCATCAGGATTACATCCTCTGTTGACAGTATCGAAGAATCAGGGGAGTTCT